CAGCTACGTCTATATTAATCTGCATCAGATCAGTAACTAGTTGGCATGTCTGTTCTTTGTATCAAATTAATGAAAGTTTAAATGTGAACAGCCTTTATATAGTTCTGTAGTGTTTGTTTTATGTTTGTTAAATGACTTTCTTTTCCTCTCTGGAATTCTTCAACAACTTGTAACATTTTTAAACAACATAAGGCTAAGATAGTATTCTATGTGTGCCTATCAATCAACATCAGAGGGCCACCTTCAGGCTGAATAAAAAGGCTGAACCTCTGCCAAAAGTGTTTCTGCATGTGTTCAGCGATTAGAATATGAAGCTTACAAAATGTTAATCATAAACTAGCGCTAAGACCCAGAATCTACCCTACCTAAATTTACGGTTAAGGAGCCGCTACCGCACACTTGTCATCATGCCACACATGCACAAAGTCTAAAACTTTCCTCGGCCCTGTGCCCTCAATCCATAGAGGCTCCTCATTACCATATCATTTGCATTTTTTTTCAGGAGAAGTGGCCTAATTAATCATGTGGCCATTTTATGTCTCATTAGTGCTCTCTGCTTGGATCCCCCATCCAGGGCACACCACCCCACAGACAGTCCATTATTCTTTCTGCCTTTCCTGAACAGACTTTCTCTAGACTCATTGTTTTTTTTGTTTTTTTTTGTTTTTTTTATCAGTCTGTTTCGATTTATAATGAAGGCCTTCCAAGTTTTGATTTTTCAAGAGCATAAGTAGGAATTCTGAGGATGCTGTTGTGATACATGTGTTGTAAAAAAAAAGAGCAGTAAGTGGAAAAAGAGGAAATTCGGAATACACAGTCAGGGTGTGTTCACACTTGGCATGTCTGGTTGGATTAAAACGAACCCTGGTGCGATTGATCTGTTAGTGCGGTTCATTTGAATAAGTGTGAACGCTGCCATCTGAACCCTGGTGCGCATCTAACAAGTGGACCAAGATCACTGAAAAGATGGGTCTCGGTCCGCTTCCAAAAGAACGCTGGTGTGGTTTGAATGAAGTATAAACGCAACACAGACCAAAGACATGTAAACAACAAACCAAAAACCCGACATTATGTCACAAGTTCCGACCCTAAAAAGTGCTGAATGCTCAAGCACACCTGTTTTCTCTCATGATAGCCGCGATGTTGCTCATCACAGTTCGTTCGGTACAGGCATCAGAACCGCGTCTCCTCGCAGCAGATCTTGGTTTGTGTGTGACGGAGGGATTCCTGACTCTGTTTTGACTCCTTTACACGTTTTATAAACCCTTCACGAGTTCTCAGCTGGTCAAAAGACTATCATATGTAGCTACACACATACAACAAGCGTATTTAGCCCAGAACACAGTATTGTTTTGGTCGTTTGGTAAGTTCTGTAAAGAAGAATACATAATAAAAGCCGACCAAACAGGTTGTGAACATATCCCTATGACTTTAGGTTCGGTGTTAAAATGCCAATGTGAACGCTAAGCGGACCAGGACTAATTTTTTTGTTGTTGCACCAAACCGAACTACAAGTGTGAACACACCCTTATAGTTTAATGTTGCACCTGTAGAAGCGTTTTCACACCTATATATCGTTTGTTTTGTTCCGAAACAGGGACTTAATTTGTTATAATGTTGCATTTTCTTCTTGGTTTGTTTCGCTTTCACAAAATGTGTTTATGCAAGTCACATGCGAGTACAACTGTCCTCTTATTGGTCAGAGTCCATCAAGATGATTGACAAGTTCGCTCCTTGAGCTTATTGGGGCTTCATTTGTAACTGTTGAGACACACGCAAACATTATACAAATGTTGCCATCATTCCCGCTGTTAAATTATATACTACATTCGTATTACTTCAAACACGCTCTCTCTGGATCTCCCAGCGCTGTCTAGAGGTTAACTGTGTCAAGACACACACAAACACGAATGTTATAATGCAGCTAGAGCAGGAATCAAGGCTTTATCCGGACGGCGCAATTACACAACATTCTGAGATGAAGAGTTGCTCAACTGTGACAACTAATGTGCTCGCTCACAGAATCAGACATTAACCATTAATAATACCATTTGATTCGTTGGTGCATTGGGTCGCATTGCTTTCACACCTCAAGCGACCTGCCCCAGAGTTCGTTTGCAATCGGACCGAGACCACCTCTTTCAGGTGGTCTCGAAGCGATTGTTTTTGTGCGGATTTAAGCGATTGCCCTGTTCACATATGCCTAAACGAACTGAACCAATGGAGAAAATGCACTAGGTTCTGAAACCAACACTTAAAGGGATAGTTCACCCAAAAATAAAAATTCTGTCAGTAATTACTCTCCCTCATGTTGTTCCAACCCCGTAAGACTTTCGTTCATCTTCGGAACACAAATTAAGATATTTTTGATTAAATCTGAGAGCTGGATCACTCCGCCATAGGCTTCTTAAGGGATCGAAACTTGCCGACCCAAAAGTTATGAAAGACATCGTTAAAATAGTCCAAGTGACTACAGTGGCTCAATCTTAAGTTTATCAAGCGACGAGAATACTTTTTGTGCGCAAAAAAACAAACAAAAGAACAACTTTATTCAACTAATCATTTCCTTCTCTGTTCGGCCGTGACGTAGTGAAACTGCGCAGCGCTTCTAGGTTGTACGTCACGCATCACACACATGACCAGCGTCGGCCAATAGTGAGCCTACGTGTGACGTGCAACCTAGAAGCTTTGCGCAATATCACTACGTGAAATATCATGGCCGTACAGAGAAGTTGTTTTTTGCGCACAAAAAGTATTCTCGTCGCTTGATAAACTTAAGATTGAGCCACTGTAGTCACTCTGTTACAAAGTAACGCGTTACAGTAACGTAACTACTTTTTCGGGTAAAAAGTAGTGTAACGCGTTACTACTGAAAATTTGGTAACGAAACGTAGTTCCTTTTTCAATTCCGCACAACGTTTATTTTCCCATGGACAGATTTGACAGCAACACTGTCTCCTCAGCTGCGCGCTTGCAATAGTCACAAGCTCCACATGGTACGTGACAGAGGCTGGTAGCAGAGCAATCAATTCTGTGAATTACACTGCGCAAACCAAAAGTAATACTCCCACCGGATGAAGAAGGGTTGGCTCTCCACAGCACATAAAATATTAATTTTATTGAATTTTTCGTGTTCGCATTTATGAGGAAAGAAACAATGTTATGGACGTAGCAGTTCTTTGGACTTGACCGCTCTGAAAGCGGCACTAAAAGACTGCTTTAAATCTTTCACAGAGACCTCAAACAGGCATTTAAAACACCAAATATTAAGGATTGGCATATCAAGCAAAATAATATTCGATGATTGCTCGAAAATCGTACCTCTACCCCCACATGCTTACAGTAAGACGGCGTTCGCTCAAATCCCGCTCCGATATTACATTTCTCTGTATAGACCTACGTGTTGTAGCCTAGTCATTAAAGAAAACGATTTAGTTTCATATTTATGTTTAAATAAAATAATTTATTTTTTAATTTCATCAATGTTGATTATATGAAAAGTGAAAAGCATGAGTAAGAGCATAAGATGCGCGATCGGGAGACAAATGGAGTGGGCAGACATGATTTTGACCACTTCATTAAGTTTGTTTTTGTAGAAAGCCTTTCTTTAAAGTGAATTTCGTTTTGTATTAATTGTATCTTAATTTTAATCAATGTTTCATCAACCAATTGTCTTTAATAAATAAGCAGTAAATATAGCAGGCAATATAATCAGGACTTCTCAGGAGCTCCGTGCCGGCGCGTGGACTGAGCTCGTCTCATAAATGAACCGAAACTTAGCGCAAACTACTTGCCTCAAAGATCTGAGAAATATATAGAAAGCTTGAAATGTGTACTTTAAAACAAAACTATTCAAAACGAGAGAAAACAGACTACTCTCTGCTTATGTAATCCATATGAAATGTGCATTTCTCTCTGGCGCGTTCACTAGTGTGAAGATCGCGAGTCAGCATCGTCAACTTTATCTTTGTAGCCGACACTGACTGACAAAGAAAACACTTGTTTATTAATAAACAATTGAAATGTCTCCTTGCTATATTTGATATTCATAATCATTTCTTTTGCCGGTTCTTTGTGACATTTTTCATGAACGCGTCACCACCGCTCAATAGTTAATATTTTTCTTTGGTGTTCAGTTTATACAGGTTTTTCAAATGTTATTTAAATAAATATATATATTTTTTCTATCTCAAAATCTCTCTTTAATTTCTAGTTTTTTTTTCTAGTTTTTCAATAAGTAGAGTTCATAGTAGAATTTTATGTAGGCCTACACATTTAGGAACAGATATTGGGTTCTGCCCAAAGTCAAGCAACATAAAAGTAACGTAAAAGTAACGAGTAACATAAAAAGTTACTTTCCAAAGGGGGTAACTAAGTAAAGTAACGGATTACTTTTTTAAGAAGTAACGAGAAAACACTACTTTTTAAAAGTAACTTCCCCAACACTGCTTAGAAGCCTATGGAGGAGTGATCCAGCTCTCAGATTTAATCAAAAATATCTTAATTTGTGTTCCGAAGATGAACGAAAGTCTTACGGGGTTGGAACAACATGGGGGTGAGTAATTACTGACAGAATTTTCATTTTTGGGTGAACTAACCCTTTAAGACACAGTCTCTTAAGGAGCTACAGTATAACATCTGATATATATTAAAAGAAAAGTAATCAAAGTACTATATACTCTAATTTTTAAGCTCCCTCCCCAGCCCACCAAGAGTATTTTCAAAACTAACCTACAAACATTTTCTGTTAAGAATTTGTCATTGAATTGATGTCAAGGCCATGGGCACATTAAAGTATTAATTCACACACAGCAAAAAAAAGTCGTCAGGTCACGAGTTGTCACTTATTTCTGATGTGAGCAGATTAGCCAATCGTAATGTCTTGAATGTACAGTAGCAAAAATAGCAAAAGGTCAGAAAGAGAGCCTCAAGCTATCAAGAAAGAGAGAATAATACATTTTCTTCTAATGTTTTTCCCTTGATGTCCTTGTCTCTTGCAGAGGAATTGAATGGGTTAGTTTGACTAGTTTTCTGTCCTTCGCTACCTCTGTTCCCAACAACCTTGGACTTGTGAGGAATGAACTGCAGCATGTGGACTTACGCACAGGTAAAGCACACACACTGACACACATTACACACTGGTATTTTATCCTGATTGTACATTGCTCGATCTCCCTAAAGTCGGGTGCATTCTGACTGTCAATGTTCATTGATATCAGCTGGATTGAATTGTACTGAAAGTGAATCCAATGATGGATATGTCACTGTTTCTTATTGAAATAGTTATTGTTATTGTCCTTTGTGTGAACGGGTCTTAACTCATCCCACATCACATGTGTGGCTTGTTATTATGGCTCTAAAGAGTGAGCAATGATTTGGCCATATACAGGTGTGAATGACATCTGATCAAAACTCATCAATGTTTATATAATACCTTCAGATTGAAAACAACAGATTATGTCTAACCTTATAGGCCAAGTACATTTCACACTGTTGTATTTGCTTCATATGCATGGATGTTTTTGGAAGTCTTATTGGGTCATGTGCATGAACGGTGTGTAATGTCAAGTTAAATGCAATTTCATTAAAAAAAAAAACATTTTTCAAGCCTTTCACATTTTGTTAATTAAGCTAGTGTATCAATATTAGTTAGGTCATGCATGCATTGCTTGGAAACTGCAGTGAAAGAACTTAATGAATATTCATGCACTATGATCAGCTGATTCTCTGGCTGATTAGCAGTCTCACGCTCCAGTGTATCTGTTTTTCAGGCTATAAACTAGGCCTACTATGCAAATGTCACATTAAACATTTATTAATTCATTAAACCTGCAAGCAGCATTGATCGGGACCTCACACGTTGGTGCACATTTGGGATGCGGGTGTGTTCTTGAGGATTCCTATACCTCTCAACAAGTCCTTCCTGTTTCCAAATGCCTGTGAAGAGAGATGTGTTTGAAGTGTGTGAGTTGCGGTATAAGTGTAGGAGAGATAGCGTATAGAAGGTGTGAGGGAATCGGTTCTAGAAGGAAGGTTGAAGAAGGTCTTCTGCCTCTGTAAGGGGAGAGGAGGAGATCATTAGCTGTGGATGTGATTAGTCTGAGTTCCCAGATGTGTGAAGCTAAGAACTGACTGCTGATGGTTGTGGATTTGTCTGTGAAAAAAAATGTGCTAAAGCTTTAGATGTTAAAGAGGTGGTGGGAGGTAATGGAGGGGCTGGTAATTATAGAGATCCACAGAAAAAGAGAGAGGACCCAGACATACACTTTAGACTTTGGATATACAAAGACGGTGCAATCACATTACTATGAATAGGAATAAGTTCAATGTGCAATATGACAGAATAAGCCCCAACTTGTAAATAAAAGAGCCAGTTGCTAGTTGGTAAAGTCATTGCATCACTGCAGCTGCCATTAGAAGCTTCGATTGCCATTGAAACGGTGTTTTGAGATGCGCATTGACTGGTCCAGCCTGAAATATAAGCTTTTTTTTTTTATGCTATGATCATTAGAAACAACATTTATGGCACAGCTCATTGTCAGATCTTTTTGCTGTTATTTAAATGTCAGGGTAGCAAGTAGTTGAGATTTCAGGATTCCTACATTCAAATAAATAGGACTTGGATTGGAAATAAATTGGTCTTGGATGGCTGAAATATCTGCCCAGAGGCTTTGCAAATATGGCCGGCGCCGAGAGATTTCGACAGGTTAGCAGGATTGTGTCCTCTTCTGTGTGGGATGTAAGAGGGTTTTTGTAGGGAGGAATGTGCTGAAAACATCTTGAATATGGACAAATAGATTATTTAAAAAAGGATGAAGCAGAAAAAGAAAATAGATACTTACAGGTGAAATTCGAAAAATTAGAATATCGTGCAAAAGTTAATTTATTTCAGTACGGTAATTCAGCTTAAAAGGTGAAACTAATATATTATATAGACTCGTTATATGCTAAGTGAGAGATTTCAAACCTTTATTTGTTATGATTTTGATGATTATGCCTGCTATTATGCCTGCTGCCTGCTGATTATGAAACTATTGCCTGCGGGACAGATCGGCACTTAAGTGCAATAGATATAACAAGCAATAAAAATAACAGTAACACTTTACTTAAAGCCTTTATGTGCAATGCATTATAAAACTATTAATGCTTTGCAATGCACTAATAATGCGTATGATCTCATGAATAATTGTAACCATAGTACTTATAATACATTATAATACACCTTTAGAAAGGATAATGCATTACAAAACGACAAACCAATTTCAGATGTAATAAGGAATATGTGAATATTATAATGCAATTTATCTTTGGTTACAATTATTTATGAAAAGATGGAATGCATTATAGCTTACATTTTGAATATCTTTATAATGCGTTATACATAAAGGCTTTAAGTAAAGTGTTACCCAAATAACAAATAGCTGCTTCTTACTGACAGACTGGATTCTAATAACAAACAAATACACATTAAAATAAAAAAAGCAATAAACAGTAAAACAAATAAATCCTCTCTAGCAGCAAATATTCATCTTAACTACAGAAACAGGCTATTACGCAAACACTTATGTGGCACTGCCGTCTCCTCTTAATCGCTTTTCCTCGCATTGTTTAAGCATAAACAAATGTTTGAAAATAAATATAAAGTTTTTAAGTATTTGGTATGGTTTGATAAACTCTATATCAAATACAAAATCTGAAGGGCTGTTTAAATACTCTTTGACTTTCAGATTCCTCAGCTTGTTATGTTTGCTGGAGCCACATTGACCGCATTATTTCTCCAAGCGCCACCTACTGTCAAAGCATTTCATTCATTCGGTCTCCTTCACTCCTTTCGCCATGTTAATGTTGGGGTTGTTAACATCAGAATGCACATCTTTTTACCTATTTTACACAGCATACACACAGTGTTGTTAAATTTAACAGGCTGATGTAAAAAGTATTGTAAAAATCGAAACAATCCGTAATAAGGTTTCTAGAATCATTTACGATATTTTAAAGTGCCCATGATAACAATACCATGCATGTTCATTACTGCGATATATCATATTACAGGAGACCAGCACATGTCTACTGAGTTGAAGTGGTTTAGATTCATTCTGTTTCATGTTTACAGAACTTTACTTGTTTACGACAGCTTGCTCGTGACAGACTTATAGAGTGTTTTCTGGGTCAACTGTGTGTGTGTGTGTGGATGGTGTACGGCATGCAAATCCTAGCATGGCCTTTTCATCAGTGTTTTGTTGTTGTTGATGTTGTTAACTCTCCTCCACAGTCTGCACTCTTATGGTTGATTAGCTCCCGGTCTTCATTAGAGCAGGACCTTAATTAGCCCACTCTTTCCATACAAACTTTGTCCCAGTGAATATCAATCACTTACACAATCCTTCACACACTGCTAAATACTTGACAATCTGGAGAGCAAATCAGGGCTCTGCAAACTCTCAAATCATCAATGAGTCGTGAGAGTAGGAGACTGCTGAAGATAAAGGTCAATCGACTATTAATTTTAGCACAAATTTCTGCATTTTATACATACAAATCACAACAACCCACAAAAACGTTTTTAAAGGTACTGAATGCTAACATGTTAACTAAAAAAACTACTTTTTAATATTTTTTATGAAATAAACTATTACTATATGTCATAGATAATCTACAAGAATCTAGAATCTTTCGTACTGTGTTTTACTGCCTATATTTCATATTTCATGATGTTTCAGTCGATTTTACACATTTTAGTCTGTCAATAGTTCAACTAGTAAAATGTGTACAAGCTTATATAACAATAACATGTTAACTAATGTAAGTAAGAATAAATGACTTGATGATATCCTCTTCTGGATCAAGCCACACAGCGCCTCCTCCAAACTCGATGAAAAAGAGAGGAATGAAGCTTGATGGTTTATTTATCGAGGTGATGGGGGCGTTTACAGGTTTGCGTGCCTCACGTGGTTGATTACCGTGTGATTAGCTTATGACGCAAAACATTGTACCTCTCGTTGGTTTCATATTTATTACATAAACAGAGAAAATGTGTTTTCCATATGAATTACTTCATTTAAAAGTAGACACTTCAAACTTTCTAAAGACATATATCTCATATCTGTGTGGCAAGTATTCGATGAATTTCGGTAACATTTTCGGACGCATTTCAGAAAAAAAGTTCACATAGACGGCAGAAAGTACACCCTGTTTCATTTTTTTTTTTTTTTTTTTTTTTACAAAAGCACAACGTTTTGTTGTTATTGTGAGTGTACTCAAATAACCCTTTACAGTTTCGAATGATGTATTAAAAATTGAGTTTTTTATGTCGATTTAGCTGCTATATGTGGAAAAAATCCACCAAAATGCGCCGGCACGTTCGTCGACCCCTGAGGGTGACTTAAATCTAATAACTTTCATTGTAACTCAACCATATACACAAGTTAAACACTGAGTGAAAGTCTCGGATGCAGTTCCAAGCAACACTGACTGTGATAGACCGTATAAACAGTATACTGTACTATACATATGTTAATTATAGCACCCACACAAAAATCCACAATATACAGATGGTACTCACACAGAATAAGCCCTTTACCTCCCATTATTTCTGCGGTAAATGACTTTGCTATGGTGCTATTACCATTATAGTGGACAGTAGGCAGAGAGGATGGCACATTTTGAATTTCCATTTCCACACAACGGTGTGGAAAGGTTTCAATTTAATGGGATTGGGGTTTTGTGGACAACACAAACAAATGGCTTTTGCCTTCAGATGAAGCGACATCTCTTAGGGAGTACAGGGGGCTTATCATCAACACAGAACGACCCCCTCAATCACAGGAACTGCTTTTCCCCCAATTCTTATCCACTAGTGTGAATGATCATCAATTCCTTAGGAAAAACTCCCAGGAAAAAATAGTTTTCCCATAAGGCTGAAGCCACAAAGAACGGACAGATATTCACAATTCTTCAAAGTTCAACCATCATGTTTCGAGACCCTATTTTTTTACGATCTGAAACGCAAGTATCAAACGCGAAACGCAAGTAACTTTGTGGGCGGATCCCGGCGCTGTTGCTATTATACCAGCGGGATAAATGACTCTTGCGCGCAACGCAAATCTAAAACGGGTTGGTCTGAAGTCGCTACATTACTCATAGGTGTGGTTTGGACGTAACATGCAATAAACCAATCAGAGCGTCTTCTCACATTCCCTTTAAGACCAGGCACGCTTGTTCCATGGCGGATTGCTATTATAATGGCTTATTTGCCAGGAGCGGTTCACAGCCGAGGAGACAGACAGGGCTGTAGAAGACAGAGAAGTGACATTGTATGGGGACGGGAGAAACCCACCCAAATTAGCTTCGGTTACACAGGCGTATAATTAGGGTAAATGTGTAAGCTAGATTTATGCCTATTTTTTCACATCTTCATGGACACCACAATGATTTCCCTCGTGTGTTCATATTTTTCTTTGTAATTATGTATGATTTGCAAAAATGAAAACTGCTCCGTCTGTGTAGATGAGAGAAGCAAAGTGTATGCGCGTTGTGCACACGCTACATTATAGCCAAGCATGCGCCCTTAAAATAGCATAGAATACGAATTCATCAACATTAGAACAAAGTTAAGAACAAATTAATGTGCGTACGCACGTGTTGTGAATTAGGTGGAAAGGTTTCGTGAGAAGTTCAAATGTGCGTATAAATGCGCAATTAATGAATGAGACCCATTGCTCTTCGGTACATCAGCTGTACAACTCCACAACACCTTACAGTTCTGCTGTTACAAGACTTGTGAATGTCTTTCAGCAGTGAATATATGCACAAATAACATAAATTATTCTCCCACACTTGCCCTTTAATGTGTTATAGGTTGCCAGTTTTTTTTCGCGGTGCAATTTTGTGCTTAAAAAGGACATGCATGATTTATTAACCATCTTGCTTTAAATGTTGCTTCATAACACTCCTCCAAACAATCAGGTCCATGTGAAGTATTTGGAGAAAAATTAGCAGTTAGAAAGACGATGAAGCAATAAGTAATTTAAGGCAGTGTGTTACAGTGATATATTTTTGGGTACGGGATGTTTATATAGGTGATAAATGTAAACAAAAAAATAAGCGAGCAAATTCGGACACGGATATATCCACTTGGCAACTTCAACCAATGGACACTTTGTTCCCAAGGTTCTTTGCGTTTGCAAAAGAGTCTTTTCAAACCGTCAGATCTGCACAAGGTTCACACACACATACAATTCAGTGGTTCTCAGTCCTTGTGTGTCTCTTATTTACCAGACATAATTTATATCATTGGTAGAAGTGCCAAATCCTGAACTGGATGTGACTGAAGTGTAATAAATAACTTGTCTGCTCCTGCAGTTGGTTAGCCTGACTTCGTCACACTCATATTCTAGTCAGAATGTGAGTCTGATACTGCTCCATAGGGCTTTGATTATGAGGCGTGTCTTAACCAAACCAGGAAAAAAAAAACTCTGCACTCAATTGGATAGACCTACAACCAATCAGAGGAACGCAGTAAGTGTTTTTATTTTTATGAGCTTTGAGCTACGCAAAGTCAACAGAACTCAACTACACGCACGCTGCAAGAAGAAGTAAAATAATGAGTGTTGCTTCTTTTACTTGGTCCTCCATGAGTGCGACCAAAGGAGACACCACAACGACCACAGGGTTTTCATTGCGTCCCGTCTTCTTAGCGACCATCGGAGCCAGCTGATGAAATAAACTTTTGCCGAATCCCGTAGGAAGGACGGCAAACACATCTTTCCGATCGACAAATGCCTTGATTGCAGTTCTCTGTTCGTCTTTTAAAATGAATGCGCTGTCGATTTCTTCTACAACAGACGTGATAGCGTGATCTCTACATCTCAGTTCTCTAGCGGCAGTCATCTCTGAGGGAAACCAGTTCAACCCAAGCGCTCTTTGATAACGTGATGATTACGTAACTGCAGATCATCTGTCCATCATCGTATAAAGCCCGCCCTGGCAATTTGATTGGCCCGACTAATTCTGAACCGATCATAATTACTCCTCAATGGATCGAGTCCAGACCGAACTTCCCGACCCAAAAATGTTGTGGCCGGGGTTCGGGCTGGCATCCAGGCTTGCAATTGGTGATTGTTTTTTTTTTTTTACTCTGCTTTGTGTTGATTATTGAGGGAATAGTGTAAATGATGAACAAGTGAGCGATGTCAGACACCAGTTGACACCAAAATGGCTCAGTCAGTTGTTTTACGTTCGTTTTAAGAAAAGCTCTTTGTTTGCTGCATTTGTTTGCAGATACTGTTCCACTTGGTTTGATATTTTGTTTTATAATTTGATGACAACATTTTTAAGTGTGGCTTAAGTGTCCAAATAGTTTTTCAGAGCCACTGTCAGTATAGTTAGGCTGTGTGTCCACCAAAGCATTTTTCCCCCTGGAGGCCAGCATCATTTTAAATTTGTTTTTCAATAGGAGCGCTGCGTATTTACCAAAGCCAAGCAGCGTGATGAGGTGCTACACGCTTGGTGTTTTTTTTATATTTATTATTTATTTATTTGCTGGTCAATGAGAGATGAAAAATGTTCCACTACCCAGCTGTCCAATCACAGTGGAAGAGGGCCGGAACAAATATTACATTGACCAACCGTCTCACCCTGCTTGTACAACAATGGAGAAGTTACAGAGTATTAATATAAAAAATAATGCTTGGAAGAAAGTTTGGTTAGCCATGTGTTTACCAGGTAAACACTGCTCTTCCCAGCTGGACATTTTCAGAAGCGCGCCTCAGCTAAAACCGCTTTGGTGGACACACGGCCTAAATCTACCATATAAAAGCAGTCCCATCATTTGTGTGTTTTGTTTTATATTTAGGAGAACATTCATTTATTTATCGTTTGTTTGTTTGAATAATGAGTATTTTGTGCTTTCTCTCTCAGGGCGGTGCTTTGCATTTCGAGGAGAGCGTGGGAATGATGAACCAGCCATTGAAATGATTAAAGTGTCACATCTGAAGTAAGTAACAAATTCTTTTCACTCTGGCGCAAACACCTCAGTGAGCACTTTAACACATTTCCCTCATCAGTGGTGTCAAATACGGACATGCACTAACTACTCTCTGTAATTATTTGGTATTATCTGTACGGTGTCTGGGGTGCACACTCACCATCTGTCTACTTCCACTCTCACATTGCAGTACTTCAACATGGGGACATCCTGAGTGATCTGTCTCATTCCCTAACCTTGCAGTAGAGGGGATTTTATTTATTGTTTGCCATCGTTTCAAAACTATCACCTTTATCACTTTCCAAACTGCAGTTTGAAACCATTCAGTCAAGCATGAGCAAGTCAGTGTCTGCTGGTTATCAGCCAACCCCAAAGACACCTTTTCACTGTTTACAACAAATGACAGACAATATTGATTTCCATTGGAGAGTCTCACAGTGACTGTGTAGCTCTGTGAATGTGAATGTGAATTTTTAGATCCATTTTGAGCTTCAAGTTTGAAATATTTACACCGTATGCAACCCTTACAAATGGGTGTGATGTGTTCCATTCAAATCAAGACTATGTGCACAAGGTGAAAATTACCCATAATATTTTTTCTTAAACCCTAAAATCCTGCTAGAGTGGATGTTTATGAACAAAGAAGTCCAAAACAATTATTTACATTGTTTAGCATTGTGTAGTAGTGATTCCTAATATTGATAATAAATTGGCTGGGAAGCATAGAGCATAGTCTAGAGCAACACATTACATAAAATGTAGAGTTAAAATAATTTAATGCGCAGCTAGCCGTGGATTATCCTGCTTATACTTTGACTGGAAATGACCGTCGGGGATTTTAGCTATGAATCATTATATCTAGCATTCTGCCCACTTTAAATAAGACCGAGATAAAGTAGTTTGGTAAGATTACTTTATTTAATTTTTTTAAGAGAGTTTGTGCGTGTGTGAATTACCTGCGTTTGTCTGATGTCTCTGAATTGCTAAATTTTTCAGCAACGATGGAGTAATGTACTAAAAAGTGAACCTGTGAGTGTAATTACTTTAAAATCAGCAATTTTACTCCCTTGTTGCTGAGAAATGTAATGTAGCAAATCAGTAGCGAAGGTATTTTGTTAATAAAAGTCGCAGCGTTGTCAACATGTTTCTGTGTTCCTGGATGTATCTGTGTGTGCGTAGCGTGATCTCCTGATCTGTGTGTGTGGTCTGGGTAAAAACCATATGTTGTGGGGACAAGATGTCCTTGTAAGGATGGCAATACCAGAAATCTTTGAGCTTATGAGGACATTATTTGGTCCCCATGAGGAAAACAGCTTGTTTTTTTTATGTAAAAATGCAGAAAGTTTTCTGTGATGGGTAGTGTAAGGGGATAGAATATACAGTTTGTACAGTATAAAAATCATTATGTCTGGTCCCCATAAAACATGGTAACCCAACATAGAACGGTGAATAAATTGACTACTAATGGTGCAGAAAGGCTTTGTTGGTCAGTCATTCATCTATCCATTTTATTAACTTATGTAGAGACTATGTTTTGGGCCATAGGCAGAAAAACACCCTGGACAAATGGACAGTCCATCACAGAGCTAACACAGCCGTACACTCACACTAACACAAACACACATTTAGTGTCTCTGATTCACCTATGCTGCCTGCTTTTGCATTATGGGGGAAATTGGAAAACCCGGAGGAAACCCACGCCAACACAGGGAGAACACGGGAACATGGGAACGCAGAAAGGCCTCCTGCCTCAAACCAGGGACATTCAAATTCAAATTGAATGTTGAAATTCAAATTGAAATTCAAATAAGCTTTATTGGCATGACTTGTAGAGTATTGCCAAAGCATTGGCCATTACATTAGCAATGAACAAATAATCAATAAAGTCAATAAATCAATCCGTAAACTAATACATGAATGCATTTTTATAAACAATATAAATTTATATAGACAATTAAAATAAATAAGCTTTGTAGATGTGTACCTACATTCAGACATGTTAAGAATATTTCTGACTTAGACCTTCTTGCTGTGAGACAACACTTCTACCCACTGAGCCTCTGTCCCGACCGGTCAATCAGCTAATCAAGGCTAACTTTAATGAAGCCGGATTGTGAAACGGTCTACAGTAGAATTACAAAAAGTTTGATATGCTTACTTTTAATGTAGGATACTCTTTTTTTCAGAAATGTCAGGTATAGTCCAGAGGACGAAGTAAATGTGTGTGTACATGGTGTTGTTTAGGCAGTACCTGGTGGTGGTGTTCAGAGATAAACCGCTGGAGCTCTGGGATGTCCGCACAGGAACATTGCTACGCGAGATGGCCAAGAACTTTCCTACCGTCACTGCCCTGGTACTGTATCAAACTCACAATGTGCTGTTCTGCTTATTGCTTAAATAGTTGCTTATTGTTTTGAACTTTTATGTGTCAGTTCGTCTACATTAGCTTTTTAAGTATGCAGTTTTATTACAAGATTTTGAACTGAGAGATTTCTCTGAATCTTTCTCTGCAAAGAGACTGGCTTTATCACCACACAAACCCATTGAAGGGTGAAGTCGCTGTGGGGTCTTAACTGCAAGGGCCAGTAAACATTGTAATGGCGCCGCTAGCGATGACTCGCAAATAACCCCAACAATAACCTTAGTAATAAATGCAGTCTCTCTCCTGGCAACCTGTCTGCCAGCTCATTTGCATCTTGATTACTTCCTAGGGGTAAAATATGTGCCGGCGACTTCTAGATCAGAAATTGAAGCGCTTTTAAAGCACAGTAATATCTAGGTAGCATTTCGCAGATATAAGAAAATCGGGGAATGTTTGATTCGCTACGCCCCGTAGAATCCAACGAGACCAGTTTCATGATTCTAAGCAAAAGGTTTTTGAAATTAGACTTCTATTAGAAATGATAATTAGAAATTAGAAGAAAATCGTGATCAGTTGGTGGCACTGTTCCAAAACTGGTGATAACACATACGTTTTTAATGAAGTTGCGGAGATGTATTTCACTGTTATATTTGTTGTTGCATTATTTCTTTAACATTCAACCTAAAGAGAAGCCAATTAAAAAAAATAAAAATACACACCAGGTGAATTGGGAAAAGAACATTTAACTAGTAGTTATCACCATACTTGATTAGAGAAGGCCTTTTTTTTATCAGTTCATAATTTAGATATTACTGTCAGCCAAAAAACAAAACATTTCCACCACCTAAAATGTAATGTAAAATTAGACAAATTATACACTCACCTAAAGGATTATTAGGAACACCTGTTCAATTTCTCATTAATGCAATTATCGAATCAACCAATCACATGGCAGTTGCTTCAATGCATTTAGGGGTGTGGTCCTGGTCAAGACAATCTCCTGAACTCCAAACTGAATGTCAGAATGGGAAAGAAAGGTGATTTAAGCAATTTTGAGTGTGGCATGGTTGTTGGTGCCAGACGGGCCGCTCTGAGTATTTCACAATCTGCTCAGTTACTGGGATTTTCACGCACAACCATTTCTAGGGTTTACAAAGAATGGTGTGAAAAGGGAAAAACATCCAGTATGCGGCAGTCCTGTGGGCGAAAATGCCTTGTTGATGCTAGAGGTCAGAGGAGAATGGGCCGACTGATTCAAGCTGATAGAAGAGCAACTTTGACTGAAATAACCACTCGTTACAACCGAGGTTTGCAGCAAAGCATTTGTGAAGCCACAACACACACAACCTTGGGCTACAACAGCAAAAGACCCCACCGGGTACCACTCATCTCCACTACAAATATGAAAAAGAGGCTTCAATTTGTCTCAATCAGTTGAGACATTCAGATGGTAGAGTCAGAATTTGGCGTAAACAGAATGAGAACATGGATCCATCATGCCTTGTTACCACTGTGCAGGCTGGTGGTGGTGGTGTAATGGTGTGGGGGATGTTTTCTTGGCACACTTTAGGCCCCTTAGTGCCAATTGGCCGTTTAAATGCCACGGCCTACCTGAGCATTGTTTCTGACCATGTCCATCCCTTTATGGCCACCATGTACCCATCCTCTGATGGCTACTTCCAGCAGGATAATGCACCATGTCACAAAGCTCGAATCATTTCAAATTGGTTTCTTGAACATGACAATGAGTTCACTGTACTAAAATGGCCCCCACAGTCACCAGATCTCAACCCAATAGAGCATCTTTGGGATGTGGTGGAACGGGAGCTTCGTGCCCTGGATGTGCATCCCACAAATCTCCCATCAACTGCAAGATTCTATCCTATCAATATGGGCCAACATTTCTAAAGATTGCTTTCAGCACCTTGTTGAATCAATGCCACGTAGAATTAAGGCAGTTCTGAAGGTGAAAGGGGGTCAAACACAGTATTAGTATGGTGTTCCTAATAATCCTTTAGGTGAGTGTATATGAGCAGACACCTCTGTAAAATCCTTTAAAAAATAACTTAAAACTGTAAAGGCAATACTGCATGAATATCTGAGTTGGCTTGAGGGAAAATCATAAACCACTCTCACCTATTACTGATCTCCACAAAAGTTTTGTATGCTTCTTCAGAATCATATGTTGCATATCCTAATTTGAACACCTAATAATAATAATAATCCTATCTAAAACAATAGGGTTTATGACCAAATGCGATTGATCAAATGCAGTTTATGACCCCTTTAAAGAAAACGTTTAATCCTCCATCAAATATGTTCACCAATATTTTTTGAGCATTTGCTTACATTAAAACTGTCTGTGCAGTGACTCATGATAACATGTATTTGTGTGTAAACAGGAGTGGTCTCCTTCGCATAACCTTAAAAGCCTGAAGAAAAAGCAGCTTGCTGCGCGCGAGGCCATGGCCAGACAGACCACCCTCGCTGATGCGGAGCAGAGCAGTGTCGAGTCCTCGGTCATCAGGTTTGATGGACTCAATCACATCACTTACTCATCATCTTGTTTTTCCTGGAGAACACACACAAAACAAAGATTTATTGAAGAATGAAAACATGCAATGTCAAGCTCCGAAATCTACATAAAAGCAGCATAACATGACTATATAACTCCTGACCTGTATTACAAAACTTCTAATGTACACAGAGATTTATAATTAATTTGATAAATTATTTGGACCATTTCAGATCTCTACTCTGAAATTTAAGTTCCCTCTCCGCTGCAGCTCAAATGTTATTTGCGCTTGGGCACATTCAAACTTGAAGATGCATTGCACCATGTTTGATGACATTGATAACACTGGTTCTCCTGTGACCAGCTGTGCCATGGCAAGTTTGAATATGCTGAAGTATGAATGAGATTACAGTGGAGGGGAATACTTTCAGTGCACTTAAACAACTTGAAGGATGACTTCAATGACATACAATGCTTTTATTCAACTTGTTGAGCTCTAGAGCCCAACTCTCCACTTGTTGTATAGAAAAATGTGTTAAATATTTTGTGTTCCATAACTGAGGTTTGGAATTGCATGATGGGTAAATTATAGATTTGTACATTTTTTTTCTATTTCATTTTTTTTTTTTTTTTTTTTTTACTTTTGCTAGAGTCGAGCTTTGATACACTAATCATTGGTACTTTGGTACACGCTCCAGTCTAAGTGGTTTGCTGTTTCGATCAGGACTCTTAACAACTGTCTGTTGCTGTCTGTCAGTATGTTGCAGGACGCTGAGAGCAAGTCTGAAACGGGCCAGGGCATATCGGCTCGAGAACACTTTGTGTTTACTGACACAGACGGCCAGGTCTATCACATCACCGTGGAAGGCAACAGCGTGAAGGATGGCGCACGTATTCCACCTGATGTGAGTGTCCTTATGTGTTTTGCTTCTTAGTTCTGATCTACTGTCTTAAAATAACTTATTCTTAATCATAATATGGTAAGTTTCTATTGATAGCGAAGGCTATGTCGCTCTGATTGACACATTTTGTATCGGGGGTCCCTGCTCCATGTCTCTATCGCCATGTCTCTATTGCCCTGAATAACGTCGAAGACCCCTGCTTGGACGCATCATAATTATTTTGATAACTTTTTGTCGTATAGTCTCTAATTGCTTTGTACAAGGATTGATGAAGATCTGGCAAATTATTAGTAGTACACGCCCTAATAATAACAATAAACAGAGCAGCTCCAAGACGGTCTCGCACGATCTATCCATTGTATAATATACAGCTGGAAATATCAAAACTATGTCAACTGTCAATGTCACATATCAACATCATCACGACATTTGTGAAGAAATTGCTTGGGATTTTTAAGACAATTTCCTTTGTTTTTGAATAGAACCTAGTATGAAGCAAGATGAAATAATATTAATACATGCATGTAATACATGTGATATTAAAAATGTGGGTTCATTTTAGTTAAGGGTCCAATTCTCACTATTAACTAGTTGCTTATTAGCATCCGTATTACTAGTAGGCTACAGTATATTGGCTATTTATTAGTACTTATAAAACGCATATTAATGCGTTGTTCTGCCTGACCTTATTCTACATCTCTGAATCCTAGCCAATACCTAAACTCAACAACTAACTAACTATTAATAAAGCAGGAATTAGGAGTTTATTGAGGACAAAGTTAGAGTAAATAGTTAGTAAATAGTGGCCTAATCTAAAGTGTGACCAAAATGTGATCATATGTTCATCAAGTCAGTCAAATGATCTGTCTGTTGTTGGTGACAATTCGATATATATAAAGCTAAAAATCAGTTTGAAACCATCCTGTACACTCAATGTATTCATCATTTTGAATGCTATATTTCCTCACACATTTTGTGAGAAAGTGAATGTCGCACCCAGTTAATCCAAAACAATTGCTTAATACATAAACTTTTCTTTTTGTATTCCTATAGCCTGTTTTGTCCCATCACTCGGATAATAATCAGTCATACATGAAAGCAGAAACATTTTGTAAAGTCCTAGAGACAGCATGTCATAAATACAGCTGTACACACTCTTCTGATGGATCAAAGGAGTTTCCAAACATTTCCTTCTAATGTTGAAACATCTGCAGTTTTAAACTTTTGAGATGAAAGAGGAGATGGAGAGAAAATTGCTCCCTTCTTCATCCTCATTATCCTTTTATCTCCTGCAGGGCTTTTTTTTCACAAGCCACAATTTCTATTTCTGATCGGTTGTTCAGATCCATTTGCTTTTTATTTCACTGTTCGTAGTTTGAGTTTGTAAGCGACCCATATATACTGTATGTTTTCAGCATAACCAGTGACACAAAACTCGTATTCTTGGTTACCAGTGTCACACTCCCTGTTCATTTGTTGCATTAATTCTGTTCGTTCAACTGTTATTTCTATTAAAAAATAAGAGGAAGGAAAATACTAAACAAAGATGATGATATGAAGATGTGAAATGAATAGACTGAGAACTTAATCTTATTACGGTAGATAAAAATATGAGGACAACATTTCCTTTGGGGATATTTACAGTTGAAAAAATGTAATCGCAATATTTAGCAATATATTTTATTGTAGTATGAATGTTTAAAATCGCTATGTAGATATAGTACTAAATATGTGTTGTGAATTTGTTTAATCTGTTGGCATTTGTCATCACTCTCTCTGTTGGTTGGAGTTGAACTTAGTTTTTCCTTAAAACCTTTTCTTTTAATGCAACATCGTGACAACTCTATAGGTGTTGTGGCACATTAGCTGTGTCCTATGTCTTTTATGCCAGAAACTAAATGTCTTTTCTCTTTCAGGGCAGTATGGGGAGTATTGCCTGTATTGCATGGAAAGGAGACACTCTAGTTCTGGGAGATGTAGATGGAAACCTCAATTTTTGGGACCTAAAGGCCCGTCTTTCAAGGTACAAATGTATACACCACTAATAACTCAGCAAGTCAAACATGTCTCCAGTCATGTACGTGTGTAAACTCATTTAATTCCAAACCTTGTTGAACCATTTACTGAACTGAAATGACACATCATAAGGGACTGAGTTGAGAAAAATGCAACTGTGTTCATCACACACTCTTTTACCGTGTTGATAAAATGTCACACTCACTTATATTCTTCAGGGGTGTACCTACACATCGCGGCTGGGTGAAGAAGATTCGTTTTGCTCCAGGGAAAGGCAACCAAAAACTTTTAGTGATGTACACAGACGGAGCTGAGGTCTGGGATACCAAAGAGGTGTGTGTGTGTGTGTGGTTTATTTATTATGTATCTATTTATTTTTAAAAAGCATCACTACTTCATTTTAACATGCAGATACAGAAGCACAACTGCTTCATTTTGCTTCAAGTCCTTATGAAGCAAGTGCCACCATCTTAGCAGTTCCCCATAGCAGCCATTTTCTATCCAGCTGAAAAAGCTCAAAAAAGCTGATTTTACTCTTTCAAGGGTTTTTGACTGAATACAATATGTTATATCCTGGGAAACTCTGAAGTGTGTTTGTTGCTTGCTGTATAACGTATACACAACAGTTACAGTAGTTCCGGTCCTCAAATTGAATTGGACGAGAGGCCTCTGACAGTGCTGATAATTCACCCGTATCAGCGTTTGGACTTTTCACTGCCTGTGTTTTTCTTGAAAGATAATGCCGTCACACACTCCTACAGGTGCAGATGGTGAGCAGCATCAGAGTGGGGCGTAACGTGAGTTACAGGATTCTGGATATCGACTGGTGCACGTCAGATAAAGTGGTGCTGGCATCAGATGATGGCTGTGTGAGAGTGCTGGAGATGGCCATGAAGTCTGCCAGTTACAGAATGGATGAGCAGGACCTGACAGGTGAGTGCTTTTGGCTGCAAAAAATGTCACAAATGGATTTCTCGCGGTAGTTTATAAAATATTTTATGTATGTAAATGGAATGTACATATGTTTGGCGGACTAGATTTGCTACACTGCTTCTTTAGGGCTGCACGATTATGACAAAAATCATAATTGTCGATTATTCCCTTGAAATTATAATTGCGATTATTAATTATGATTATCACAATTTACATTGAATGATGTTTTGAATAGCTTTATACCAGTGGTTCTCAACTCGCTTGGCCAGGGGACCCACATCCCCATGGTCATCAAGCCACAACCCACTTTTTTTTAGGAATTATATATATATATATATATATATATATATATATATATATATTATAATAGGCATATATATATGAAGAGTTTGGTTCCAAAACGCAATAAATCCATTTAGATTAATTTGAGTAAAAATGTGTTTTCTTTATCAAAAAAAGTGGAAAGATGAAAACCACTATTTTCTGTTTCAAACTTTCACATAGCATTTGTAGGTCATAATAACAAAAAAAAAAAATTAAATCCAGGTTTTGATTTTCAAAGATTTATTATAAAAACGGATAATTTTTTTCCCCAAAATGCAATAAATCCATTTTTTTTTTTTCAAAATGCAATTAATCCATTGAATCAATATAAAAGATTTTTTTTTTCATATTGAAACTGTTGAAAATACACAACAACGTAAGTTTATTAGTATAATATTTTTATTAAGAACTGTAAGGAAGATTGAAAACATTTTTCCTCCTCCCGATTGCCTCATCTTCTTAATCTCCTCATGTAAATGATTCGATTTCGATGCCTTACGTTTCTTACCCACCGCAGAAACAACCACAGGTTCATCAATGCCGTCAAAATTATTCTTTTTTTTGTTTGTTTGTTGATCGAAAAGTACAAAATAGATAAGAAAATCTAATAAGCCGGGTGTGTTTAAGGCGCTGCCGTTACTGTTTACATTGCGTGGAATGGTGCGTTGTGATTGGCTGAGAGCGGATATATCGCATTCTGCAGAGAAGGGAGACTGGCGTTTGTCGCGGTTTGGAAAGAAAGGGAGAAAACATGACAGAATAACACGGCGGATATCGCATTTTACTTAAAATTAAACATTGACTTTTCAATACCAACCAGATACAATACTGATTTTTGAAGTAACTAATTTTTCTTTTAAAATGGCGTTTATCGTGTTTTGGAACCAAACTCTTCATATATATATAGTGTATGTATATATATATATATATATATATACATATATATATACATATACCATATATGTCTATTATAATACATTTGTTTACACAAAAATAGTTGACACACACACAAGTACTGTCCCCCTTTACTTAACATACACATACATTGTAAGAATATGACTCCTGCTAGAGAGAGAATGTTTTTGTGTGAACTATCCCTTTAAGAGCACTGAAAGTCAATGGGAAGTCCCCATTAGGACAGCTGATAAAAGTGTTGGGGACCAGTCATCCTTCATGTTTGTATGTGCATATGCTGACACTTTATTTATGAGATTTTATTGTTTTCAGTGCTAGAACTTTGGTTAAGTGGGTCATCCCATCAGACAGACGTGTTGGTGTAGAATAGCCTAAGATGTATACGTGCCTCTGTGGTGTCTGTTTCAGATCCAGTGTGGTGTCCCTATCTTCTGCTGCCACGTGCTGCTCTCACGCTGAAGGCCTTTCTGCTGCTGCAGCCGTGGTGCGACACATTCACCATGGACATCTCTCAAATGTGCGTGACGGCTGCATTGTTCTGTCACATCCGTTTCCGTTCAAAAGTCATTCACAGGACATTTTCATCCAGTCTGCTGTGATAACTATGTCTTCACTGAAACCGTTGACAAAATCTGACCAGAACAAAAGCTTACCGGTAGTTAAAAAAAAAAATTCTGCATCCATAAAAGAAAACTTTTGGTAACATTTTAGTTAAGGGTCCAGTTCTCACTAATAACTAGTTGCTTATTAGCACACATATTAGTTCTAACTGTTAATTAAACTATTAATAGGTCGTATTTAATAGTGAGAATTGGACCCTAAACTAAAGTGTGACAACTGTTTTAATTTATTTTTTATGTAGGGATGCACCAATCTATTTAGTACAATAACCAGTACTTTATTTTTGGTACTTGCTGATTTCATCAATTTTCCAGCACAGTACAGTGGGGCTGATGGATTGAAAATAGTCTATTTACACTCCTAAACAAAATCTTAAGACCGGGGGAAACATTGCAAGTATTCGCATTTCGCGCTGGTGGATCATAACCGGGTTGTAAGTACTGCTTCAAAATGCCAAAAGAAGAAACAGGAGCAAGAGACAAAAAATAGAGAGTTGGCAATTTATTGAAAACTGCATTTAAAATAAACGGGCTGTTCATCAGCTGATCAAAAGTTTAAGACCATAGCCCAAAAATAAACCTACAACAGAACTAAAAGTGTCAAAAAAGGACTCAGTAGTGAGTAGCCCCACCGTTCTTGTTGATCACTTCAAAAACTCGTTTCGGCATGCTTGATGCGACTGTTCCCAGGAGGCTGCTGGGAACGTTGCTCCATGTGGTGAAGATGGCTTCACGAAGGGCATCCACGGTCTGGAACTGACGTCCATTTTTGTAAACTTTCCTTGCCATCCATCCCCAAATCCATCCATCCCCAAATGTTCTCAATGGGATTTAGATCAGGAGAACACGCAGGATGGTCCAAAAGAGCAACGTTATTCTCCTGGAAGAAGTCCTTCGTCAGGCGGGCGTTGTGAATTGCAGCGTTGTCCTGTTGAAAGACCCAGTCATTACCGCACAGACGGGGGCCCTCAGTCAAGAGGGATAGCCAGCCGCCGTTTGACGCCCCTGGACAACCTGAAGCTCCATTTTCCCATTGAAGGAAAAAGCACCCCAAATCATGATGGAGCCTCCTCCACTGTGCCGCGTAGAAAACATCTCCGGTGGGATCTCCTTGTCATGCCAGTAACGTTGGAAGCCATCAGGACTGTCCAGGTTAAATTTTTTCTCGTCAGAGAATAAAACTTTCTTCCACCTTTCAATGTCCCATGTTTGGTGCTCCCTTGCAAATTTCAAACGGGCAAGTTTGTGGCGTGGGAGGAGACGTGGCCTTTGAAGACGTTTTTTGTTCTTGAAGCCCTTCTCTCGCAGATGACGTCTTATGGTTATTGGGCTACAGTCAGCATCAGTAAGTGCCTTAATTTGGGTCGAGGATCGACCTGTGTCTTCACGGACAACCCGTCGGATCCTGCGGCTCAGTGCAGGTGAAATCTTTTTGGGTCAACCACTTGACTTTTTTGTCCCATAATTCTCAGGATCTTTTAAGAAATGTAAAATGACTGTCTTACTGCATCCAACCTTGGCAGCGATGGCGCGTTGCGAGAGGCCTTGCTTGTGCAGCTCAACAATCCTGCCACGTTCAAAGAGAAAGCCTTTTTGCCTTTGCCATCAGGAGATCATGACAGTGTGACTGCCTGAAGATCAATGACACGAAAGCCATATTTTTGTGGAGATTTTACCTTTTTATGCCTATGGTCTTAAACTTTTGATCAGCTGATGACCAGCCTGTTTAAGTTTAAATGCAGTTTTCAATAAATTGCCTACTCTCTATTTTTTGTCTCTTGCTCCTGTTTCTTCTTTTGGCATTTTGAAGCAGTACTTACAACCCGGTTATGATCCACCAGTGCGAAATGCGAATACTTGCAATGTTTCCCCCGGTCTTAAGATTTTGTTCAAGAGTGCATTTTCATGAAATGTCAACCCCATAAATAACATCAAATACAAGACACAATAACTGATCACCAAGGCATCATAAAATCAAAATATATTATTTACCCTTACTCTTACAACCAGGAATCATATCATTGACCCAATTAGTTTAGTAAACAGTAAAAGTGGCATTGTAATCGAGTGAGCACAGCAGTGACAGGAAGAGGCAACACTCTTTCCTAGTTTTATACTCTTAAATATGACTTTTCATGTATTACCCGTCCCATTAATAACTTAACATGCTTCCAAGTGGAAGGCTTTTACATTTACTATTTATAATCCTTACTATGTTACATGTTCCCTGCAGTTGCAAAAATGGCATATTGTTTCATATGCATCAATTTGATCCACTTGGGTTTTTTCCTCGTTTTAAATATTTACTTATAATTAATTCATATCCCGTTAAAAAGTAGTTCCTGGTCGTGCTTCATCACATTCTGTTTGGAAAGTTGGAAATGCGTAACTCTATCAAAATACGCCATGACATAAGCAATTTTATTATTGTTTTGAAGAACAAGAAACGTTGTTTATCTTTTGTGATTTCATATTTCATGCTTCAGAGAGTTTAATATAAAGCCTATTCACAAAGTTCACAGACATGCATGTCAATATTTCAAAGGGAAATGTGTATCTCTATGAATCCCTTCACACGGATGTATTGTGTGATCTTTTTTCTTTATTATTGTGGCATTTAGATACAATTCTGTGAACCGATTTGCAGATTCCAAGAGCGAATTCTTGAATTGTGATTTCCAGATCTGGAAAAGACATGGAAATTACATCATCTTTTAATAATAAACGACATAATTTTTCACATATATATTGCTCTTTTCGAGAGATTATATAAAGTCAAAGTCTTGTAGTAGCATGTATGTTACAAATTCTGTTGAGGGTCTTATTGGAGAAATTTACACACTAATAATGTAAGTATAATTGTTTAAATAAATTGAATCATTTGGTGCCTGACATACGAATACAAATTTTCCTCATGAGTCTTTGTTTAAACGATTTGATCATGAACGCCTGAAAGCGTCTTAGACAAGTCATGGAAATCCAATGATCAATCAGTATGTCTGGTAACCCTTGTTTTGACAGTTTATTTTTGTTTAGTTGGTCTATTCGAATCTTTTCATGACATACGTTTTACACTTGAACAGCAACTTGATTCATCCAGACAAAAGATGATCTCTTCTGCTGACTTGTATTGTGTGCTTCCATCCTTAGAGACTACATAGAAAAAGATGAAATCAAGGGACTGATCCAGGAACAGCTCAACTCTCTTTCTAAGTATGTTCACTCCCAGAAATAAGCACAGCACTGTTTCTATAATAATTCTGTAATTCAAGTATGGCATTCAAGGCCATTTCTTTGCCTTCAAAGAAGTACCTATTAATAAAAGCAGGGACAGAATGATCCTCAAATAGCTCACACTGTCTTATGTGAAGAGCTTTTTAAAAGCGCACGCTGCCCTCTCTCACATGATGTTTTCATTCTGGGTCATGTCTAACTAGTTATTGTCTTCTCACTCAAGTGACATCAAAAGCGTTCTCCAGGACCCAAATCTGAACTTGCTGCAACGCTGCCTCCTAGTGTCTCGGTAAGTGTCGGTTCATCAGGGTTGTGCACCAATTTAATTGAGAATGCATTCCATTTCAGCTTTAAAGGATTCATTCACTTCAGAATGAAAATATCCTGATAATTTACTCACCCCCACGTCATCTAAGATGTTCACTTTCTGTCTTTGAGGAAAACATTCCAGGATGTTTCTCCATATAGTGGACTTCAATGGGGTCCAACTGTTTGAAGGTCCAAATTTTAGTTTCAGTGCAGCTTCAAAGTCTCGACTCGGTCCCAGTTAAGGAATAAGAGTCTTATCTAGACAAACCATCAGTCATTTTCTATAAAAAGATAAACATTTATATTAGTGCTGTCAAACGATTAAAATATTTAACCGCGATTAATCGCATTAATGTCATAGTTAACTCGCGATTAATCGCGTTGATGTCATAGGTAACTCTCGATTAATCGAAATTAATGGCATAGTTAACCCGCGATTAATCGCATTTATGTCATAGTTAACTCGTGATTAATCGCATTAGTGTCATAGCTAACTCGTGATTAATCGCATCAATGGCATAGTTAACTCGTGATTAATCGCATTAATGCCATAGTTAACGCGCGATTAATCGCATTAATGTCATAGTTAACTCGCGATTAATCGCATAATGCCATAGTTAACTTGCGATTAATCGCGTTGATGTCATAGGTAACTCTCGATTAATCGAAATTAATGGCATAGTTAACCCGCGATTAATCGCATTTATGTCATAGTTAACCCGTGATTAATCGCATTAATGTCATAGTTAACTCGTGATTAATCGCATTAGTGTCATAGCTAACTCGTGATTAATCGCATCAATGGCATAGTTAACTCGTGATTAATCGCATTAATGCCATAGTTAACGCGCGATTAATCGCATTAATGTCATAGTTGACTCGCGATTAATCGCATAATGCCATAGTTAACTCGTGATTAATCGCATTGATGTCATAGTTAACTCGCGATTAATCGCAATTAACGACATAGTTAACTCGTGATTAATCACATTAATGTCATAGTTAACTCGCGATTAATCGCATTAATGTCATAGTTAACTCGTGATTAATCGCATTAATGTCATAGTTAACTCGTGATTAATCGCATTAATGTCATAGTTAACTCGTGATTAATCGCATTAATGTCATAGTTAACTCGTGATTAATCGCATTAATGTCATAGTTAACTCGTGATTAATTGCATTAATGTCATAGTTAACTCGTGATTAATTGCATTAATGTCATAGTTAACTCGCGATTAATCGCATTAATGTCATAGTTAACTAGTTAGTTAATTATGTTAATTAGTTAATTAGTTAGTTAGTTAATTAGTTAGTTAATACATAGTTAATTAATCGCAATTAATCGCACATTTTTATCAATTCTAAATGTCTCTTGATTTCTTTTTGTCACCATTATTTTTTCTCATTTTAATGCTCTTATCAACATGGAAAAGTGGATCGGCTTGCTTTGTGCAAATGTTTTTAATTGAAAACAACATTGACACTGTGTTCAATTTCACATTAGCATTCTCACTTGGAGCAAATAATCTCTCACACAATGTAACACTGTCCATCAATAAAAGGGTGAAAGAAATACCGACGAGGTCCTGATATTGATGAGGGGGCGGAGAATTCACATCAGCTGTGAGTGTGTGTGTGTGTGCTTGGCCATCATCAAGTGGTATTTCAGACTGGACGTGCTGCGATGATGATAGCTCAGTTCACAACGACAAAACACACAGATCACTTTGGTCTTGTCAATGGAACCATTTGGCAACTTTTTAAAAGTAAACTTTCAATTCAGAATCTTATTGGCGTCCATTTCGGCGTCTCGCGCTCGTCATCCATCAAAACGGCTCGCATTACTATTTGGCAGGCTCGCAAGCCCAAATAAGTGTGTGCGGCGTGCCTGTTGTTTTGTTTCCGGTCTAGCTAGATCCGCTTGCGTTTTGGTCGACGAAGCAACAAAACGTCCTCGCGCGGCACAAGCCATTGAAATGAATGGGTTTCATAGCGCAGTATTGCGCATGCCGCGTCCTGTTGCAAAAGCATGTGAAAAAAACGACAAAGTTTGCTAGGCCAAAAAGACCGTTAATCGCGCGATAAAAAAATTGACGCCGTTAAAATGGGTTTGCGTTAACGCCGATAATAACGCGTTTAACTGACAGCCCTAATTTATATACTTTTTAACCACACATGCTCGTCTTGCACTAGCTCTGCGATGCGCCACGCATTATGTAATCACATTGAAAGGTCACGCGTGTTTAGTTTCACAAAGGTAGGGTAGGGCCCTTTTTGTAAATGCCGTTTGACTTAGTCTTTGCACTTCGCTTTGTAAACACTAAGTCGGTACTTCCGCCTACGTCACACGTGACCTTTCAACCTGATTACGTAATGCGTGGCGCATCGCAGAGCTAGTGCAAGATGGAGAAAAATCCTGGAATGTTTTCATCAAAAACCTTCATTTCCTTTCGACTGAAGAAAGACAGACATGAACATCTCGGATGACGTGGGGGCGAGTCAATTATCAGGAAATATAATTCTGAAGTGAAGTAATCCTTTAAATTACATGAACCCTACTATATTTGTAAAGATTTTCTAATTATACATATTTAGTGGCCCAAGCACCTTCACTTTGTTGTTGTTGTTGTTGTTTTTGCCTTGGAGTTCCTCTCATTATTATTCATATTTGATCAGGCTGTTTGGTGATGAATCAGACCTTCAGTTCTGGACGGTGGCTGCTCATTACATCCAGTCCTTTTCTCAGAGCTGCCAGCCCAGCGGATCTGTCCCAGAAGGCCAAGCGGCAGCTGAGGGCCCCCAGAGCACCCCTGGGAGCCACCTGGACATCTGCCATGACACCCTCTGTGAAAGCTCCTTCTTCCAGGTATGAGCTGCTGACATGTACCGAACAATACATGGATATGAGGATTATGGAAGAGGATATTACTGCCTCAAAACCAAGAATGCTTTGAGTCCTTGTAGCAATAATTTACAAATTCATACATAGTGATTGTGAACGAGCACCGATTTGCCTGAGGTTTTGGGCTTTTGTTCAGGGATTTCCATTAACTGTCGCAGAGTGGAAAATCATTTACATTTTTTTACATTTATTCCTTTAGCTGATGCTTTTATCCAAAGCGACTTACAATTGCTTTATATGTCAGAGGTCGCACGCCTCTGGAGCAACTAGGGGTTAAGTGTCTTGCTCAGGGACACATTGGTGTCTTACAGTGGATTCGAACCCGGGTCTCTCACACCAAAGGCATGTGTCTTATCCATTGCGCCATCACCACCCCATACAAAACATTCCACCCCAAATCGGTGGTGGAATGTTTTTTTTTTGGGTGTTATGGCTGTTTGATAAGATATACTAACATATATGTATGGTTATTATTATTGCTCATATTATTAATGCTAGGGATTGGAACAGTAATTTGAAGTAATTGATTTGTAAATTAATTTGTTTCTAGTTTTCAATACAGATTCCTCATTGTCCATTCCTCTTTTACGTCTACATGCTTTCCTGTTCACTAATAAAAAAGAAAAAAATTGCTTGGTTTTTCTCTCCATGTCAATCATATGCACTCAATAAAACCACCTGTTGTAGCTTATCCACGTTGTGTGCGGTGCTAAATAGAGGCTGAACTCAAACGTCAAAACGTAACATCGGAGAAGCATTAATTAAACATCTGTTGCGGTCACTGATTTCGGCCCTCCAAAATCATTTCATCCTAAAACTAAAAATAGCTGTTTCTGTCAAACATTTTCAGTAGACACAATTTCAGTGCATCCCTAATAGAGACACTTTAGACACCCTACCATTGTGCCAGCATGAGACCGCACATCTCACATCTACTGAATGTGCTGTTGTAGGTCTATTCTACGGTTTACTGAATGGCATTAATGGAGCATCAGTAATTAGACTGGGATTAGACGTTTACTAGTGAATTTATGACACAATGATTCCTGAGAGGTCTTCAGAGAGAGAGAGAGAGACTCTGAATATTAACACCGCAATATTCAGCAGGGCTTTAGGGGTTTCATTATAATAGCCAGCTATTCTTCCTAAATGGAGAGAGACTGTCATATTGAGTTATTTGTTAATAGTGCAGTTTACACCTAAAATTAAAAACACTCCATTATACAGAACTCATTTGCTTTATTGTGAGAGAAAAAGTGCATAATTGCTGCATTATTATCAGCAGTAAACCAAATATGTTTTTTGTTTTTCATTTGTGAGTGCAAAACTTAATGCCACAGTATGCATTTCTCCAGCAACAAAGTGGTTGTGTGATCGCCAGGGTTTGTTATGCGGTTAATAAGGAGCTCCATGTGAGTCTTCTGTGTAGTTCTTATGGTGTTGCTACTATGTTGCTAGTTGGTTACTTACTGCTCCTGGTCACATGTGTCTTATATTCTATCTTTTACCAACTCTCATTAATAATCATGGACTTCTGATCACTTTGTGGCTGCAAACATAGCCCTGTTTTTGCAGCTTTGTTTCATGAAATGGTCTGGTTAAAATGAGGAGTTTACTTATTTGTCAAAATGAAGGACAACAGACATTTTTCTCTGATTTCGCTCTTCAGGTTGCACTGATTTCAAGATTTGTGTGCCTTTTTACTGTAGAGGCAGCCGAGTTTGATTGAAATCCAATTTTGCCAGCAGTGAAATACACCTTTAAGGGAAAATGCATTGAATTTTAAATGCAGCATGACAAGTTTTGTCTTAAGGTGTAAAGCTCTCAAATACAAAATTGAGAAATGGCCTTCCATATTATAACAGATTTGAATTTCGCAGAATGCAATGAGACTCGTCTGATTAGCAAAGTTTGTTTTTCCAATGTTTGGTTGAGAAAGCTGTCCGTCTTCTTACACAAGCATGTATTTAAAGACACCATCTATGTTTCATTGTTTGCTGATTTCTAAGATATTGTGAGATAAAGCTGGCTACACGACTTTCAAAGTGGCTTTGTAAAATCACACTGCATATTTTAGCTGTTTGTCTGACGGAAAACTGAAAAACAGCATAATGAAGTGTTAATTGAACATTCAAATGAATCTCTGCCTGTTCTCTAGTATTAACATAAGGAGAAAAAAATATGACTTCCCCCTGAGGGATCAATAAGGTACATCTATCTTTAGAAACATTCTGCTTAAAATCTAAATAAGGATTTGATCTGAATACCTGATCTAAATATGGATCAGATCAAAACAGGATTTTGTTCAGTCTTTTGAGTTCTGTTTTCTATCCTGCACCGTGCATGGTTTTGATGACTTTAGTTTAATGCAAATGCACTGGCTAGTAATGTGTTACAGTAATAATATTACTTTCCCCAGTAATGACTTCTGTAATGAACAACTAAAATAATTTGTATTTCATTCAGAACCTTCATTTACGGAACACAAAATGACTTACAAATCGCATTTTCTTTCTCTGTCATTTAGAGGTTTCAGCTGGAGCGAGTTCGTCTACAAGAAGTGAAAAGGTCCAGCTACGAACACACCAAAAAGTGTGCTGACCAACTGCTGCTGCTGGGACAGGCAAGTGCCTGCACACTTCTGATGGACTTCACATTACGTCATTATCAAAAAAACAAACATATTTGTTACAGTAAGGTAAAGAAAAATCATTAATATATATATATATATATATATATATATAATAAACAAACATGCCGCTTTTTGCCGTCTCTGTTTCCTTTCAGTGAACTTGTTTTTGGAGCAAAAATGCAGCACATAGTGTACTACTTGTCGCATAGTTTTTTCTTTTGTTTTGTTAATCTGTGAACTATTTAAGGTAAATATATTTGACGTATTTATTTCCTTTTTTATATATATATATATATATATTGTGGTAGATTTTTCTTCTTACGCACCTGACTCTTAATTACCTGGGGCGTCTCCAATCGACACTTAATAATCTTAATACTCTAGCACTGCGTCTACAGTCGACAACTGGCTTCGAGTTGGACGACGTCTTGTCCCTTTTCCTATTTAGTAAGCTTCCCTTACTAACCGGCAGCGCAGCATTAACTAGACAGACTCCTGACAATGCCTTCGAATATGCTTTAATCACGGCCGGAGGATCTCAGACCAATTTCAGAGAGAATCCCAGAACAATTTTTATAGAATAGGAGCATGGCAAAACTGACATGAAACATTAGTTAATTTCCCTACAATTCTTCATATGCAAACCCTTCTGTTACTAGGTAGAAGCAACTTGGATCTCAAATCATTAAAAAAATGGAAAAGGTTAGAAGTTCAGTTGATTACTCAATATGTCATGAGACTATTCTAGACTGTTATATTTTTGATTTTTGATTTTACACTGGTTTCGACACAAACTTCAGAGTATATTTTGTTCAAGTGGTAGAGTGTTAGGCCTAATGGAGAAGTAAGGTTAGATGTTAGAATTATGATTAGTTTGATATACAGTTTACATTTTATTTATTAAAATATCCATCACTATATATATATTTGATTCTGTTTTGAGAAAAAAACGTCTCGGTGCATTCAAAATCGCATACTGTCTGAGGAGGTACTAACCTTGAATTTTAATTTACTTCATGACTGTTAAAAAGTATGTTCTATATAGTATGTGTAACGCTAAATCCGAGGAAGAAGAAGATGACGTGGATATAACACAAGGTTTATTTAAACATCTCAAAACATAGACAGCCAACATGCGAGACAGCGTGTGAAACACGAACAATACCGGACAACTGAAGAGTGCACAAGGAGGAACTTAAATACATGGTGATGATGACAAAATAACGACCAGCTGTGATGATAATCAGTGACCATAGAAACGAATGAGTGGCGGGAAACACGGACAAAGGCTGTGTCCGAAATCTCCACTCCAACCACTACTCCCTAACCCCTATGTAGGGGGTAGGGAGTAGAGCACTATATAGTGAGCTCACCAGAATAATAGAAACACCACTTTCGGACACTACTCGATCGTCTCTCGGCGCCGTTGATTACGTCATTACTGTCGCCACTATTTAAACGCGCCATCATCTGTCAGCTGGTGCCGAGCCAGCTCTGGGCTAAATAGATTTGTTTTTAATAAATACATTACATTATATTGAGCTTATTTCTCCAAAATTGTCAAATTAAAAGTCATTTCTGGCCGTTTCTGTTATAATGCGTTACTCCACACATGATTATAACTTCTAAACATAAATAAAATTAATACACATATTTAATATATTTTCATTTCCGCGCCACACCGTTTTCTCTTGCCTGTCGATATTAGGGAAAAAAAAAAACAGATATACGTTATCAAATATCTTGCTCATAATACTCTTAATAAAACAGCTTTTAGACTCTGTGGAGATGCCACTCAATATTTATCTTTTTTGTTTGTTTGTTCTCGTGATTCAGAAGATTTTGCGGATTAGCAAAAGAAACAGGATTTCTAGACACAGAAAACGACGTGCTGTTCTTGCTACGCTAGCGAGACGTCGTCAAATTGTAAGTTAAAGATAAAGATGCTGCTGCTGATAGGTCTTTTACGATCAGCGCAATGCATGATGGTATGTAGGGCTTGGGTTAGTGACCATCGGTTGTACACTACTTTTCAAAATGCATTCTGGGATACATTGAGTGGACTATATAGGGTATAATAATCATCACTATACATTCGGACAGCACTACAAAATGGCGAGCTCACTATATAGTCCACTATATAGTGAGTAGTGGGAGATTTCGGACACAGCCAAAAAAACACAAGTGATTAATGAAAACAAACTAATAGTCCATGAACTGAATTAAATTTAACATAACGGTGACCGAATGAATGTGTGTAGTATGAATTCAATTCTAAAATACTGCATCCGCCATGTTGTTACTGTCACGTGACCTACCAGCGTCAGTTGCATCGATTCACTGCCATTCACATATCCTCTCCCGTGGCCTCATGGGATAGTAAAGTGTCCATCGAACGCACACCTCAGAACTCAGTGAAAGTCAACCGGGTTCTTTTCGCTAACTGTTTTCGAATACTACTGTACATTTTTGGACATAATACTATTTTTGGCGTAGTGTATTTCACATACTATATAGCAGGGAAGTATTCGATTTCGGATGCGTTGATGTTTCTCTGCAGCACATGTGTGTTTGTCAGTAGACCCCAAAACTAACTTTAGCTGGAAAATAACATTATTCAAGAACTGCTATAAAAAAACCAAACCAATGGTTTACCTTAAATTATATGTTTATCTCTGTAAAGCTGCTTTGAAACAATCTACATTGTTAAAAGCGCTATATAAATGAGGATGACTTGACTTGACCCTTCTCGTGATTAAAGAGAATGAACATGTACAGGAGGAGATTATTCACTAATTAATTGATTGCAGATGATGTTGTTCACTCAGATGGATACAAAATGTATTGGCCGTTAATACTGTATGCCTGGGCGGCGTTAATGGTTCAGAAGTTGTTTTTCCCATGAACAGCACACACACTGGCACACCTCACACATGACCCTGTTCTGCAGTCTCCTGCCGTCTGCAGGACCTGTAGGGTGGAAATCCATCATTCATAGCTGTCCTTTCAAGAATGCTTTGTTTAGAGAGTCGTAAACTAGGGGAACTGGCGAACTGTAGTATAAGAAAAACTAATAAGAAAGTGTATTAAGTTGAAAGAAATGAGAGATTACTAGTGTTCTCAAAAGTGATGGTGAACACAACATGATTGATTAAAGCCTCTGAAAGCCGTGCATTAGAGTCTTATTACTTTTATCTAATATGGCCAACCGGGATATAACATCAATGTTCTATTAATTTAAAGTCCCCCTGTGGTGAAAATCAAGCTTTAAATGTTGTTTATATGTCTATGAGGTGTTTTTAATGTGCTTTAAGACAAACCATGTGCAAATTCATAAGTCACTACCATTGCTGAGAAACCTCAAAAACACGGTTTGAAATCGCTGGTGTTTCTGACGTCACAAACGACCTTGTAACCAATCAAACGACCTTGTAACCAATCAGATCAACGTGTGATCGCCAACCAGTGGATCTCTGAGTGAGTGAGTGAGTGAGTGGAGGCGGGGCACATTCGCATATTCATAGAACCACTTATACTAAATATAATATGTGGGTGTCGAGTTACATTCAAGCTATTTCCAGGCATGAAGCATTTCTTTTCAAGGAAAAAACGCTTAAATATGTAGTTTTGGTGATCAAAGATGAGTTTTAAGGGATGAAATGATTGACTACATGGGGCCTTTAAATTTAAAACATATCAGTTGACTAATAATATTCAGAATAAACAATTATTTTCTCTTTGTTCATCAGACGGACCGTGCGGTGCAGTTGCTTTTGGAGACCAGTGCAGATAACTCCAGTTACTACTGTGACTCTCTCAAAGCCTGTCTGGTGACCACCATCACCTCGTCTGGCCCGTCTCAGAGCACAATTAAACTGGTGGCCACAAACATGATCGCCAATGGCAAGCTGGCAGGTAGGCTTTTACATGTGTGAACTGTATGATTATCTTTCTTCTATAGAGCACTGAAGGAGTTTGTCCATGCTCTTTTCCATTCAATGAATATAGGCATTTATTAATTGCTGTAAACTCCAAAAAGAACAAAAAAGTATGATAAAAGCAGTTTGTACTACTTATTCCCTATATAGGATACAAGCCATACGACAGCTTTATGTGAGGAGCAGACCAATAAACATTACTGTGTTGTATTCTGGGATTACTTATCGATAAAAGATAAAGCACATAGTCAAAACATGCTATCCAGCTCTTATTTCAAACCAGAAAAAAGAAGAAAGATAAATAGATATTTTTATTCATAAAGAAAATGAATAAATGATATATTGCAATTTTTGCTTGACGAAATGTAACCTTTTAGAATTACTAAAAAATATTTGCATTGTGATATACACTCACCTAAAGGATTATTAGGAACTCTCATTAATGCAATTATCTAATCAACCATGGCAGTGGCTTCAATGCATTTAGGGGTGTGGTCCTGGTCAAGACAATCTCCTGAACTCCAAACTGAATGTCAGAATGGGAAAGAAAGGTGATTTAAGCAATTTTGAGCGTGGCATGGTTGTTGGTGCCAGACGGGCCGGTCTGAGTATTTCACAATCTGCTCAGTTACTGGGCTTTTCACGCACAACCATTTCTAGGGTTTACAAAGAATGGTGTGAAAAGGGAAAAACATCCAGTATGCGGCAGTCCTGTGGGCGAAAATGCCTTGTTGATGCTAGAGGTCAGAGGAGAATGGGCCGACTGATTCAAGCTGATAGAAGAGCAACTTTGACTGAAATAACCACTCGTTACAACCGAGGTATGCAGCAAAGCATTTGTGAAGCCACAACACGCACAACCTTGAGGCGGATAAGCTACAACAGCAGAAGACCCCACCGGGTACTACTCATCTCCACTACAAATAGGAAAAAGAGGCTACAATTTGCAAGAGCTCACCAAAATTGGACAGTTGAAGACTGGAAAAATGTTGCCTGGTCTGATGAGTCTCGATTTCTGTTGAGACATTCAGATGGTAGAGTCGGAATTTGGCGTAAACAGAATGAGAACATGGATCCATCATGCCTTGTTACCACTGTGCAGGCTGGTGGTGGTGGTGTAATGGTGTGGGGGATGTTTTCTTGGCACACTTTAGGCCCTTAGTGCCAATTGGGCATCGTTTAAATACCACGGCCTACCTGAGAATTGTTTCTGACCATGTCCATCCCTTTATGGCCACCATGTTCCCATCCTCTGATGGCTACTTCCAGCCGGATAATGCACAATGTCACAAAGCTCGAATCATTTCAAATTGGTTTCTTGAACATGACAATGAGTTCACTGTACTAAAATGGCCCCCACAGTCACCAGATCTCAACCCAATAGAGCATCTTTGGGATGTGGTGGAACGGGAGCTTCGTGCCCTGGATGTGAATCCCACAAATCTCCATCAACTGCAAGATGCTATCCTATCAATATGGGCCAACATTTCTAAAGAATGCTTTCAGCACCTTGTTGAATCAATGCCACGTAGAATTAAGGCAGTTCTGAAGCGAAAGGGGGTCAAACACAGTATTAGTATGGTGTTCCTAATAATCCTTTAGGTGAGTGTGTATATATATATATATGGACATTGTAATATGTCTGGACTATTATTTTTAAGTTTGTTTGTTTATTATTTTCTAACTTTTATATAATTAATAAAATGTATCAATTATTAACAGGTTTTGTAAGATTTACCCACTAAGTGTTTCACGTTGGCTGCATGATTTCAACCATTAAAACAGACTTTTTTGTTGCTGTGCAGGTATTCAGGGGGTTTGTGTTAATGGGTATTAGTATGAGCTTATTAACTCATAGAGACATTTCAAGAGCACATCGGCCCTATTCCACTTCCAATGCTTTATTTTCTCACTGTATTGACTCTTAGAGGGTGTGCAGTTGCTCTGCCTGATTGACAAAGCGGCGGATGCTTGTCGTTATCTGCAGACATATGGAGAGTGGAACCGCGCCGCATGGCTGGCCAAGGTACCTCAACCAGACACAATCTACAGCCGGCTGATATATCAACTGTTCAGGATATATTCACAGTGACTTTACTAGAATTGATTAGTTCATATCCACAAATAAAATATTTTGAATCAACAGTACTTATATATATAGAGCTATACATTAGATCAGTTCCCAAACTGGGTGGCACATCCGAGTTATTAAAAGGGTCCGGGGCAAGGCTAAGGGATATTGTACAGTCAGAACATTATGCAAAAGAAACCTCTTCTGGGTGATAAAAGACCCCACTGCCAAATTATCCTTCTTATTATGGGGCTACTTGCCACATAAGTAAATAATTGTACACAAAATATTATTTTGACATTTTATTTCCTCAAGATGACTCGCAGTCTGTTATCAGATGTAGCGGTTGTTGTCGTGGAATAATGGTGCGTTCAAGTCATGTCGAAAAGATCGTATTCACAAGTTGAACGCACATGAACGCCACTACAAAGTTGTAAATACGAGTGGGAAGCTTAGGATTTTCTTTAAGCCTCGATCTTTACGAGTTGGAAAAATGGGCGGAATACCACAATATTTATAGGTAATTAGCAGTGATATTATCAGGCTTTTTTATTTACAACAAAATAAGCTAATTCCGTGCACAAAATATAATTGCATTGTAATATAACAATATAATATGTAATGATAAAGTTTACAGCGGCTTCATAAATTAATACAAAAAGTTCAAAAGCAAAACACGCCTGATGCACAATCGTTGTTCTTCTAGAAGGAGAGTTTAGTTTAAAAACCTTGCTGTATTATTGTGTAGTTAATTAAGAGAAGGTACACCACCAACTTGCTTCGACGGGAGTGACTTGAACGCACCGGACGTCGTAAACACGACTTCCCAACTCGTAAATACGGACTTCCCAGGAGGAGTTGAACACACCATAACAGACCACTAGACCGCATGATTGAAGAACAGTCATTGAACAAGAACAGAATTGAGTATTGCAGGGAGCCGTGTAAAAGTTAATGATAAGCATGGATAGGACTGGCAGTGCCAAGTAAACATAAAGCAGAAGATGAATTTACAACATCACGACTACCACAACATCTCTACACCAGAAGCTAGCGGTGATACACGAACAAAGCAAATAAAACCCATTATAATCAGTGATGCTGTCTACACTGGACGCGGCACGACGCAACTACAAATTCTGACAGTAAACTGATGTCCCGTTCTATTTCTGACATACTCCAACATCTGACTAGCCTGGGAAAACCCGGCAAATTTAGATTTGCTCTGAAAGTTAGTCTGGCAAAGAGTTCATTCAAGCCCATTTCCAATCCGTCGAAATCGCGGCACCAATCAGAAACGTTGGGGCGGCTTTACACGATGACGACAGCGCTGGGATTTTGAAGCAGATTTTGTAGCCTACATTACAAAGATGGATGCCGCCGTCAAACATCACTCGTTCCAATCAGCTATCGCGTCTGTTTTAAGCGATTTGAACGTTTCCTTTTTGTTAAAAACCGAGCAAAGAACAACTCTCTGAGATGTTTCTCCACCGCTCTGCATACGTCATCTCCTTCATCGCTCTGATTGGGTTTAGGTCTATCCGCGACCTCCGTTGGTGACGCCCCTCTGGAAATGATTTGTCTATGACGCTTTGCCAGACCATAACTCAGTTACAACTGAGAACGGTCTGGTTTTAACCAGGCTAACATCCGACACAAAGGTCAAATGAATTTGCAATAGGGGTGTAACAATACACTCATGTCAGGATTCGATACATGTCACAATACTGAACTCACGATACGATATTTTTGCGATACTCCAAGACATGATAAACCGTAAACAAAAAATGTACTGTTGATTAAAATGCTAAATTTGATATTACATTGTGTGTGTAAATGAATAGTCTTGGACTTGGTGTTGGAAACCCAATGCTGGACAATAGAGACACCAGAATAAACATATTCATGATTCTGAAGCTGAAAACACAGAATTATTTCAGTTTACATGATACATATATGTTTACACTCTGTCACTGACTAGATATATTTAAAATAATGTAGGCCACTACATTTTTGTATTGCGATATATATTGTTACACCCCTAATTTGCAACATTCACTGAAGGCGAGAAAATAAGACAAGACAAATGTGCTTTCGCCCTCAGCTTCCCTAGTACAACGGTGGCTAATTAACAGACCACAGTGTGTTGCGTGCGGTGCCTCAAAATATCGGCTTCTGACAGTATGAAGCAGAACAGAGAAGCCCGTTGTAGTACTGTATAATTACAATGGTTAAGTCAATCCTATCAGATTTTGCAAGTAAGGTCATGTCTGAGAGTGTCTTTATGTGGGTGTATGCAGGTGGGGGGCTTACAAACATGTTTCTCTACAAAAGTGTGGACGGCAGAAAAGGTTTGGGAACCACTATAATAACCAGACTTTTGACTGTTGACAAAAAGCCTTTTTCTGGCCAATAACTACCTACATGTATTTAGATGACCAACCAGTTTTTTTTTTTTTATGCGGCAAACAGATAAATCTCAAATTGCGGGTGCCACAGTACTAGACGTGGGAAGTGGCAAAGTGTGCATAGGCTTTGTGAGTTTGTGAGAAATTTGTGAATTTGATGTCACAAACTAGTTTTTGTTCGGTAGCACTCATTATATCCACCTGCTTTCTTATATTAACATAACTTTGTTTTGCTGATAGACTAATAAAAGCCTTCCTCCTGACACTGGAAAATAATGTGGAAGCCAGACAATTAGGTTGCAGTTTGTTGTGATCGTGAACGCTCTCTCTCTCTCTCTCTCTCTCTCTCTCTCTCTCTCTCTCTCTCTCTCTCTCTCTCTCTCTCTCTCTCTCTCTCTCTCTCTCTCTCTCTCTCTCTCTCTCTCTCTCTCTCTCTCTCTCTCTCAGGTGCGTCTGAACCCAGCAGAAGGGTCAGATGTGCTGAAGCGCTGGGCAGAGCATCTGTGTTCTCCTCAGGTTAATCTGAAGTCAAAGGCCATCCTGGTCCTGCTCTCATTAGGATGCTTTCAGAAAGTGGGCGAGATGCTCCACAGGTGGGCATTGCTTTTCCTCTTAGGTTTTTTGTTTAGCCCCATTCAGTGTAGCATGTTGCCCATTCATCCGTGATAATTTGATATCTGTTGTGGTTTAGTTTGTTTACTCCCACAGGAATAATATGAAATAAATAAATGTATACATAAATAAATACAATTCTCATGTTGTTCCAAAACCGAATGGGAATTTCTTTTTATTTTCTTGTAACACAAAAGGAAATGTTTAGCAGAATGTTTGTATGCCATCGATTACATCAAACTTGACACAGCATATGCCACATTTGAATATGCAGAAATGTGAATAAGATTTTAGAATTACAAAAGAGAGGAAGATCATCAGTGAATAGCAACATTTTGATCAAATATCTGGTCTTCATAAGATTAGCATTATACTACAACATTATGGTGCTTTTTTGGGGGGGCAGCATGGTAATTCTTCCGAACTTTTCCCATTGCAAATGGTTTTGGAATGACATGAGGGTAAATGATTGGGTGAACAAATCTTTTAAAAAATGCATAATGAATTTTTAAGTGAGATTTTGTCTCAATGTGTCACTCACAATGATGCATTTTTTCCAAACGCACACAATATTGATTTACATATCCTTTCCTAAACGCCATTACATTTGAATGTGCATGATAAATGACACACTGCTCAGATATTTCTCTAATATATCTTTACATTTCCTGACAGCATGAGATATTTCGACCGTGCTGCACTGTTTCTCGAAGCCTGCTTGAAATATGGTGTGATGGAGACAAATGACGACGTTAATATCCTTCTGATGCATCTTCCAGTTTTTCAAACAGCAGAATGCAGCAGGGCTTTATTGAATTTAAAACTAATGTTGCATGATTTTTTTTTCCCCATTATTATTAGAACTATTATTGTTGTTTAAGTAAAATAATAAAGACCCCATGTAATAATTTTAGGTCATGTCTGTTAGCTTTGAGGCTATATGTAATGTTCTACACAATTTTAGTAGATTAACCTCTTCAACTCTGCCATCCTTCCCAGTCTTTCTCTTCAACTGTCTTATTTAAAGTAGATGTGACTCTTAAAGGGACAGTTTAATCTTTGAGGGTCTAAATAAAAGCAGTTTTGGCTTCCACTTTCGTAACCGAAGCTGACTGTCTTTTCCCATGTGACGTGTCAGTCATGGTCCCACTGCGGCTAAACACTCTCAAGCTCCGCCTTGTACAGTAGCCACGCCCCCAAACACACGCCATTGGTTGAGCTGGAAAGAGATTGACGGATCTGAGCGAAACGCTTTCAATGTTAAGATGATGTCTGGGAGGCTCAATGTTTACACTTTTGGAGGAGATAAACCCATGAATGGCGTATAGTATTTGATGAACAATAAACTGGGTTACGATAATGTATTTTAACATTAAATAAAATGACATACTTCACCTTTAACCCTCATGTGGTCTTCGGGTCCAAATCTTGGATTCAATCTTTTTGTCACTTGTTCTCGTTCAATTAGGACTGGTTTTGCCTTTTCATTTGCATCTCATTAATCGTGGGCCTCATTTATCTCAGAGTAGGCATCTCATTTTTTGAGTAAAAAAATGGTCTTCCCGGGTCAAAATAATGCTTTTTTCACTCAAAAACTAAGGTGCATAAGCTCGGATAAATGACTCCTACAATTAAACCATTTGAAAATTAAATACAAAACCAGTCCTAATTGAAAGAGAACAAGTTGACAAAAAGATTGAATCCAAGATTGGGTGAAAATATCGTATAATGAGTGATTTATAAGCTATTTTTTATAGGCCGGTCATTTTGACCCGGGAAGACCACAGGTGTTATAGGGTTTTGAACACCACATGAGGGTTAAATATGTTTTTTAAAATTCAAAACACTGGAAAATGGACCACTGGCTTACAAGAAACACTTTGCTTAAGAGTCTTGGCATCCTCTTGAGTTTCCACATACTTTTAAGGGTCATGGTAGGCCGTAAGTAGTATCGAGATAACGGTAACGGTTTTGTTTTTACTTGTATCACCTTCTTATTTCCCAGTCTTCCTTAACCACAGCATCTCCACATAAGCTAATAGGTGCTGCCTTTGTGGACTACGCTAAGCTGCTTCGCTCCATCGGGCTGAAACAGGGCGCTGTGCTTTGGGCGTCTCGGGCTGGAGAGAGAGGGAAGGAGCTGCTGGATGAGCTTTCCCAAACAGAGGGAATGGGACCAGAGCCCAGTCCCAGTGAAGAGGAGGAGAAGGACAGACCTCTTCTCAACATAGAATGAGAGAGGATATGTGATGAAAACCATAAAAATCAATATGCAGTATCTTCAAATCTCGTCCTTATAACACCCATAAGCATGCAAGTAGTCAACAAACACAAACACGCATCTTTCCATGTAGTTTCAAACGGTTTCGTAGTTGTCTTTAGAGCCTCTGCGCTGGTTGTGAGGTGTGTTGTGTCCGGAAACATTCCCTTAACACACGTTATCCTGCTGTAATGTGTTCCAAACCTGTTCTTGCACTTATTATATTGACCAAAATATATATTTTCATGGTGATTTAAAACAAACCAAAATAAAAAATAAATATTATTTTATTATTTAATAAAAACACATTTTAAGAACCTTTAAAAGGGATTATTATGTGTTGGAGACTAATTATGCTTATAATTTCAGATTGGGAAACCATTTAAAGAAAAGAACTAGATGAATCTCATGAAACACGTCCAGTTTCACGCCAAAATCCAAAGAAAGCACTAAGCTATTATACGTTTCAAAAGATTATGTATTGTTATATTAAATAATAGACGTGGCTGTGCGGTTGAGATAATTATAGGATTTCTAACCTTTGAGGTTTATTGAATTTCTCTTAGAAAAAAGAAAAGTTGTATCTTTAGTCTTTAGGGGTACAGCATCTTGTCACTGGAGCAAAACCTCTTTAAGGGACTTGATCTCTGAAGCTTATTTACCCCTTAAAAGGTGCATTTTAGTATATATTACTACTCTAAGGTACTAAAATTAATCTTTCAGGGGGTAAATAAGCTTCAGAGATCAAGTCCCTTAGAGAGGTTCTGCTCCAGTGACAAGCTGCCATACCCCTAAATATATCATTTTACACTTTTTTTGACAGTGTAATTATTAAACATAATATAAAAATGCTGTAATCTAGGATTTAAATCTATATAAATCACTGTCAAATTGTGTGTGTGTGTTCGTTAAAGGTTTCACTGTCAAATTGTGTGTGTGTGTGTGTTCTTTAAAGGTTTCATGAACATCACTCTGAGTTACGTAAATATTATATGGTTATTTGATAGTTAAATGGTTTAGATTTAAATCAAAAATGAAAAACAACAAATTCGTAATTCATCCACTCCTTCATGTGATCTAATTCAGATGAGTGCTGTTCCTTCAGTAATGTTGCATATGTTGTATATTGGTTAATTTTGTAAAATAGTGAATTTCCCCCATTTTTGCCTAAGCCATTAACTTAATTTTGTAGTTGGATTGCAGTTGTTCATGCTGTTGTATGTGTGATTTACTGTAGACAGTGTAAGTGTGATGTAGTGTTTGTATGATGTTTCCACATGGCTTCAGATCTCCAGAGAGTTGCTGTATTTGGATATTAGTGTCCTGTTGAAATGAGATGTGACCACAAACCCTTCATTTTTGTGACGCCACCATTGTGTCTTTGATTTAAAAATGAAAGTCATTTCATTTCATTTTTCATTTCATATTTTGTAATGACTAATTAATTTGTTGAATTATGATTGTTGGAATACCCTGCCTTGTTTTGGTAGGCTATGATTGTGAGTAATGATTCACGACTTTATCCTTTAAATGTTCCTATTTAAACATTTGTAAGTAATGTTCCAGGTGTTTGAGCTTATTGTATGGGTATCTGCCTACTGCATGTATATTTGCAAAGTAATAAACAGCCTGTACCATCCATTTAGATTTTCTCTATATTTTCAAAACACATTTTTATTATTAAAATAACCTCTAAGTTGAATTAATGGGCCATATTTCATATGGAAGAAGACAAAGGCTCATGAAACGAATAAATGGCTGACTGCGAAATTATACTTTTGGTGTGATGTCAGTAAAATCTGGGACGCGAATAAATAAATAAAAAATACTGCGCCTTTAAATTCACAAACACTGCTTAGTTTTTGAGGATAAACTTCTCCAATATATATGCCCACTCCATCTCTGTGCTGCTGCCTGCCATTTACCTGTAGTGATTGGGAGAGAAACAGTGCTTTTAGAAAAACTGAATCAACAACCAATTGATTCGCAAAATGATTCGGTTTCAAAGCGTACTGACGACACCTGCTGGTCAAGAAAAGACATCATCAATAAAACAATAACGCGGGCTAAACTTGTAGAATGGCGCCTTTTATAAACCAATTTCACATGGTTTTGCAAATATGACGTAACAATTTTGTTTCTAAATTAAAATCAAATGATCTGGCATGTTTGAAAACGAAGTGGGAGGAATTTTTAGACAGTCACACTCACACAGATCTGAACATTCACAGGTGCACAGGTATAATTCCCAAACAATTGTTGAATATTATTTAAACTAACTGGCATTTATATATACTTCAATAGAACAGAGACAAAAAAGCGCATATATTCAGCGAATAGCGAATGTAAAACTAACGTGACGCTTGTCAATAACATTCAAAAACTACAATCCCCAGAGGGCACGTAACTTCCGCCATCTTGATTAAGGCGGTGCACACACAGACGCGTGTGTTTGTTTTAATCATAGACAGTAACGTTAGAAGAAATTCATTATAATAGGTTTTAATGCACATCCACAGAGGTGAACTAGGAGTGAACCGTGCTGGTGTTTTACATCCCAGCCGCTGGACGTGCTTAAAGCCATGGCCGAACCGATACGTGCTTTGTGCGATGAGCTTATACAAGCTGTGAATGTGACGATGGAGGCAGAATCCAGTCAGACTTACCGCCTGGAGGCCCTTAAGGTGAATTATCCTATATCAAATACGATTAAACGGTTATTAGGAATTCCGTCTTGGAGCTGCTCGGTTTATTATTATTATTTTCCAAAATTAATGGCATTTTCGTTAACATAAACATGCCCAAAAACTCATGAAACTTTGCACATGCGTCAGAGAATTGGCGAAAATGTATTAAAGTGGGTTTCAGAATTAACTTTAGGTGTGGTAAAATGGCTCGATAGCGCCACCTACAACATTTCAACGAAGCGCCCCTCCCACTGTTTCACGTAGGTCTACGAAATTCGTATACCATACATAGACATGTAAAAAAGACAAGTAATGTCCCATGATATCTACAAAAAAAAAGTATATTGGAGCAAACCCCTAAACACAACAGGAAGTCAGCCGTTTTGAATTTCTTCTGCAGTTTTTGCCATTTCCAGGTATCGTACTTCAAAGTACTCCTAAAACATTATGCAGAAATATATCACGACCTTTATGCAAACCATTTTGGAGTTCAATAACCAGATTAAATGGGAAGAGGTCTGGAGTTTATCTACTGTCTCACCAATAAAGTTCAAGAAGTTACATATGAGATAAAGTTATTCATTTGATTTCTCTAGATTTTTCAGAGACCTGGGATTGGTATTTCTGGGATTTAGGTTACATTGAATACCTAATATTTAAACTCACAATTTGAAGATCCGTCTATCTGGTTAAGATTCTTATTGTGTAAGAAGAGTTTGGAGTAAAATTTGGTGATTAATTTAATAATTATGAATGGGAAATACTATATAGCCTACACAAAGAAAAATGAACAAATAATAAACCCGATGCAAAGAAAAAATAACTGCACACTCTCTTTCCCCGCCAGTGTTTTTTTTATTATTATTATTTTTTAAGTTTTTGATCATTTTCACAAAAATGTCATGGCCTCCCAAAATTATTTGGTTGTGAATATATCTGACCATGCGATATGTCAAAAGAAAGAACAGATCTTCTGCTTTTAAACAAAACAAAACAAAAAATTCTAGCTTCATGCATTTTTTTTTATCAACACTTTAATGTGGGTAAGTTTCATACAAAAAAATAAAAATTTGTGTAATGTCGCCACCAAAAATCACGTTTTTGTCAAAGATCTTGAGTTTTCGTCAAAGGGACGAAATTTGTTTCGCCATGAAACAGTAAGTTGCTGTAACTCAGGCAAACAATGTGTATTCTGCCCCAAACTTAACATGTCTGATAAGAGTCCTGCCCTGAACACTGAATGCCCATATTCAGTTATAGTCATAGCGCCACCTGCTGACAACAGGAAGTGACGTTTAACACTGTGATGCACTCCTTGACAAAAATGTAAAAAAAATATATACAATAGGCCTATACAAAAATAAAATGAACATATCGAACTAGACCAGTGATTCTCAACCAGGGGACTAGGGCCCAATAGGGGGCCTCAGCAAACTTACAAGGTGGTCGCAGGATGACTTAAACTTATTTAAGTAATTTTTTTATTATTAAAAAAAGTTATATTCATAATATCCATATATTGAAATATTATAGTTAAAGAGATAGTTCACCCAAAAATGAAAATTCTGTCATCATTTACTCCCCCTCATGTCGTTCCAAACCCAAACGACTTTTGTTCATCTTCAGAACACAAATGAAGATCTTTTTTAAAGAAATCTGAGAGATTTCTGTCCCTTCATTGACAGTTACGCAACTACCACTTTGACGCTTCCAAAAGTTCGTAAAGAGATGGAAAAACTAATCCATATGAATCGAGCAGTTTAGTCCAAATTTTCTGAAGAGACTCGATCGCTTTAAATGATGAACATTTAATTTAGGCTTTAATTATTAAAGGTGGGGTATGTGATTTTCTTTTTTGACCATTTTTTCAAAATCACTTGAAATCCTATTCCTAACCCACTTACAGCCACTGAGGTAGAAGCACTTAAATTAAAATTAAGCAATTTAATCATCTGTGGAACAGACAGAACTAAAAAAAACTCCAGCCAATCATTTCCAAGACCACCTAGAATCATTGGACAGAAAATGCGTCAATCAAACGGTCGTACCATACCCCCCGAACCCCCACCCCCCTCTCGTGCATGTCCCCTTCGTGCGCATACTCAAAGCTCGTGACCCAGTCACAGTAAGTGCAAGTCGCCCCGGTACAGAGAGAGAGAGTAAGTCTCACGCATCTGAGTTTTGCAGATGCATGATTGCGCGTCCATTTTCTTCGAATGGGTGGAGTCAGGGCCAGCGTTGGAGGAAAGAAGCTAGGACCTTTTGAGTTGTGTATTTTCAAAATCTGCTGGCCGTTTTGCAAATCCCATACACTACCTTTAAGTGGTAGTAGCGTAGCTGCCAGTGGAGGGACAGAAATCACTCAGATTTCATCTTAAAGATCTTCATTTGTGTTCTGAAGATGAACAAAAGTCTTGCGGTTTTGGAACGACATGAGGGTGAATAAATGACAGAATTTTCATTTAATTTCATATGAATATGCTAAGAACTTTGTTTATACAACAAATCATTTAAGTTTTTCTGTTCTCTACTGTATCGAACAGTCACCCCAAAACTGAGGTATACTGATCCATGAATGTTGTGTTGCAACCCTACTAGACGTTAAGTTGTTAAATGTTTTAATAGGTTTCTTTTTTTGTTATAGTTTATTGAAGATTTCAAAGAGAAAAGCCCCTTCTGCGTTGAATGTGGACTTCAGTTAGCGGAGAAATCACAGACGGCAGTGGTCAGACACTTTGGGCTGCAGATACTGGAGCATGTAGTCAAGTAAGTGTCTAAAACACCTTTGTGTGTGTGTGTGTGTGTGTGTGTGTGTACATCAATAGCTAGCTACTGTATGTTTCCATCCAAAGTTGAGAATTTACCTTGTGTGCAAAATTTAAATGGTGTGTAAAGCATTTGCAAATAAAGCACTGTTTCCACCACATGTGTTCAAAAGACTAAAAACGTCACTTCCTGACACAAAATTTGAAGTTTCTGCAATCGGTGAAGCCGCTGTGGCTCTTTTTTTGTACATCATAAATAACTTGAGCCTCAGAGCACGCAGACGAAATGAAATAAACGCTGTCATGTTCTCTTGCGTTCGGATGCTGGTATTTAGGAATGCAACCGTGTGAGACACTTCTGGGAGGGAATTAAACCAAATCATTCTGATGACAGAATTTTGCTCAGGCATTTCAGAAGAAACAAACCCACATTTGAGATGCTGTGCACTAAAGGCCCTGTTTACAACTGGGCCCTGTTTCAATAAGGAGGTTCAACCAACTTTGATTTGATTTACTCTGAGATGGGAAACTGATGCTGCGTCCCAATTCGCCTACTTATACTACGCCCTAAAAGTATGTACTCTTTTTGTGAAGAAAAAGTACATACTTTTGAGTGTGTTGCAAAAGAGTAGGCAAGCTTTGGGACATACTACTTCGTCATCTTTAACGGACAGATCTGTCGCGTGCATCCTATCACCGTAAACTGCCCTGTCAATCATCTCGTCACAGTTAAAGCTGCCGTCGGCAACATTTTTTTGATCATATTCACTGAAATCGACACTATAATCCGACAGAACAACATAAATAAAGTGGTTTTAGAAAAAAACCCGAGCTTCTAACTCCACCTGGAGCGTGTTATTTGTTTTGCAAAAATCCACAGCTCCCGGATCATCATGTCCAATCAGCGCAGGGGGGTGTGAGATCTGACTGTCAATCACAGATCGGGCACACGCCACCCCTCGCACACGTTACAATCACATGCACACGCCTGAAGTTCGCGGAAGTTCGCGCAGTAACGAAGAGTGATGGCGGAAAATCAAGTAAGCTCATTTAGAGTATAAATGACGTTAGCAATTGCAATCTATCGGTAGATTAGCCAGGACAGCATACCTCCAAATACTCCATGGTGTTGATGGATGCTGATGAGACGGGCGCGTTCCAGGGCTCTCAAGTTTTGAAGACAGGTAAGAGTGACACCCAGCCGACGGGGGGTTGGATACATTTTTGTCATTGGTTGTTGCGTTAAATCTTACCCAGATACAATAGTGCTATTTTCTGATTGGCTATTGTGTAGCTCGACGAACAACACCAGAGGAAACGCGCTTGATTCATGCCGGTTCCACAGTGAGAGCGGCGCGGCCAGAGTTTTGGGCGCTGCGGCATATTAAATATATTACAAATAGTTTTTCAGCGTGAGAAATACAATGTGTGGCGGGAGAGCGTGACAAAAGACCGAAATGATTGACTGTTGTTGACTTGTTGACTGTTTGTCAACAAGTTGACAAAAAGATTGAGGGCCCTATTTTAACGATCTGAAACACAAGTGTCAAGCGCAAAGCGCAAGTAACTTTTTGGGTGTATCCCGGGCGCTGTTGCTATTTTACCGGCGGGATAAATGACTCTTGCGCTCGACGCAAATCTAAAAGGGGTTGGTCTGAAGTAGCTTCATTATTCATAGGTGTGGTTTGGGCGTAACGTGAAATAAACCAATCAGAGCGTCATCTCACATTCCCTTTAAGAGCATGGCGAACGAGGTGCGCTTGTTCCATGGCGCAATACTATTATAACGGCGCATTTACCAGCGCGCTTCAGAATCGGTTCACAGCCGAGGAGATCGATGTTCTCGTCAGGGCCGTAAAAGAAAAAGAAGTGACATTGGGGATGGGACAAACCACCCAAATTAGCTTCGGTTAAACATGCATATAATAATTTGGGTAAATGTGTAAGCTTTATGCCTATTTTTCCCATCGTCATGGACACAACAATGATTTCCCTCGTGTTTTAATATTTTTCCTTATAATAATGTATCATTTGCAAAAAGGAAAATGCATCTGTGTAGATGAGAGAATCAACTACAGTGTATGCGTGTTGTTCACACTCTGTATTATGGCCAAGCATGCGCGCTTAAAATAGCATCTGAATGTACGCGCAACGCGCCACTGACTTTAGAGTAGGTTTATTCTGGTCAGTGGCGCAATTGTTTTCTGGAACTGCAAAATTGCACCAGGGAACGTTTGCGCCGAAACACGCCTCCTTTTTTGCGCTGAACCGCCCAGGGAGCGCAAGTTCAGTCCCTAGTTTGCCGGCGTGCGTCTGTGGGGGAAAAAGTCGAATCATACGAATGATTCATGCGTCGGTGTACAAAGTCAATTGCGCTGGGTGCAAGATAGGGCCCTGAATCCAATATTGGGTGATTAACATTAGGGCTGTGCAATTAATTGAATTTCGCAAGAACACTCTTATTTTGTCTTGTGTTCTGAATGACACGCGTACACGCACATCTGCCCCTCCCGAAGCCATAAACTCTCGGCTTGAATGTTTAAACTGATAAGACTTAAAAAGAAGTGAAAATGATCAACTTGAGTTATGATGCAATACTGGCCTGATTGTGCAAGTGTCGAGTGCAAGTGCCTGATTGAAGAGAGTGTCGTCGTGTTACTGTCTTAACCGAACGCGACACGCTGTTTGAATGCTGAATGGAGAAAGACTGAGGAGAGATTAACTTTAACTTAACGACATAATTTTTTACCTCACATTATGCAATCGAATGACTTTAGAAGTCTTGGAATATAGTGCACGAAAACGTTATGATGCTTTACAATATTTTGCCTTAAGTGGGGCTTAACAAATAACACAATAGTGTGCACAATATCGGACTTCACTGAGAAGCTGCAGCCGTGGCGGGATGATGTTTGGTGTGGCGGGCCGCCACTGCAGAATGAATGTAGCGGAAACACTGTATATTATTTATTAGTTAAAGTACAATAAATGTTCAAATTTCGATTTAAGAATTGTTTAAATATTTTTTTTTTTTTTTACAAATGCAATACATTCCCAAAGTCATGTGAAATAATTGTTACATAATCGTGATTTCAATACTGACCAAAATAAACGTGATTATGATTTTTTTCCATAATCGAGCAGCAATTAATATAGCATAACTGATTTATAAGCTATAGGAATACAACAAGTGTGTAACAAGTGTGTAACAAGGTGACAAACATCCCCCCCCCCCCCCCCCCCCCCCCCCCCCAAAAAAAGAAAATTGTCAAAAAACATTTGAGAAGTGGTTATACCCTTTGTGAACAAAGTCACTAAGTTCCCTTTCAGTGACGTGTCGACTGATTGGGATCACGCTTAGAGAGCCTGTCATCTTCAAGTGCTGTTAAAATGAGCCAATGTACATTGGCGTGCGTGAAATGCATCACACACTCCGCCTCCGCAGCGCGGGTATAAATACGGAAGTGGATGCACGCACTTGTTGTCTTTCGCTTTGGAGCCAATCGTCTTTGATGTCTCTGAAGTTTCAACGAGCGAGTGTGTTGTGTTTTTAGTGTGTTTGTGTTGTGAGTGTGAGTTCTTTTGGAAGACTCTCCCGGTGCTGGTGGTTTACAGCGCGAGTGCAGCGGTGATCGCGAGCTTTGAGCTCTCAACTGCTGTTTTAACAGCAAGCAAATTTTTTGTTTTGTGTGTGTGTTGAGGGCTGGTTGAGGGCGGAAAAGTGAGTGCTTCACTGTTTTCAGTTCACTGAATTCAGTGTTGCCGCGGTCATTCCCTGTGTGCTCCGGCACTGGTGACGGGTCCCATTTCTGAAAGAGCAACACGGGTAAGTTTTGTGTCTTTTTCAAGATGCTATTCCATCTGTGCGTTTCTGGGTGCGGAAGGGCCCCCTCTGACGGTCACAAGAGTTGTATTACATGTTTGGGCTTAGAGCTCGTCGCCGAGGGCGCCCGCCTGCGGCCGCAGAAGGGGTGCCCCGCCCACTTCAGGCGCTGCCAAGCCAGGTGGCAAGTGATAGCAAAAGCGTTAAACCTGAGGTGAGCCACCCAGGGATGGAGGAAATGCTCTTGGAGATGGTCACCGGCCACTCCCTACACTTATAAAGTTTTTGTTTTGTGTGGGGCCCATAAAAGCGGAGCCAGCGGCACCCACATTTTCAAAGAAAGAGCAATTTCTCCCTTCCTGGGCCCCAAGAGGGCTTGTTGGCGGTTTGTGACCCTGCAAAGCCTTGCACCCTTCAGCTCCCTCTTGTTGAAGCCGCTTGGCTTCCTCCATATGAAGACCGCTTCGGCACTAGTTTTATGATCGAGTCCCGAGGTGACCGTGGCAGAGTGGCACGCCCTGTGAAAAAAATAAAAAAATAAATCACCGCCAAACCCTCAGCCCGTGTTCAGACCTTCAGGTCCACTAACACCGACTGAGGGGCCATGTACAAAAGGCATGCTTTAACGGAGGCCTGGGCAACCTCCGACTGCATTGGTGTTCGTTACCTCGAGTTAGCAGTTCAGGTCTCTTCATTCCACTATGAAATTCTTCCGGCCTGCTCAATCGTGCCGCCAACGAGCAGGGACCACTTCGGGGCCGCACAGTTACAACTGTTGCCTCTCCAGACTCGTCTCCCTCTGCCAGTTGTGTTTCTGTCTAAGCGGACATCCCTTGGACAGACACTGGCTCTCAGCTGACCCCGGGGCCCAGCAGAAATGCGTTCCCCAGTGAGCCTTCTAAGAAAGCGGCTATGCGATTCATTATCGCTTGGCGCTGCCCAAGTTCACTGATTTTCATCACACTCAGGTGTTGAGCAGAAATGCTCCTGAAGCTCAGTGAATTATCACACTTAGGTGTTGAGCAGAGATGCACCTGAGCTCAGTGATCTTCACATCTAGTGTTGAGCAGTGCTCCTGTCTTGTGCAAGTCAGGAGTGGAACAGGTCTTGATAGTTGCCCCTTATTGGCCCAACCAGACCTAGTTCCCCCGACAGCCTTCCTGACTTCCCCTGAATACATTTCAGGGACAGGGCATGATGGCACCCACGTTCAAAGAACTGGACGGGTAGGTTCAGGTGGCTACCACAAGGAGATGTGGTTGTGACCATCACTTTTGCAAGCACCCCCTTTAAGAATAAAGGCAGTTGTGCTTTGCTAAATTAGAAGTGGAACCTATTTGTTGAATGAGTCTTCTCTCTGTGAGGAGATTCTGAGAGCATTCGGTTATTTCAGTGCTCTCTTTCCTGCAAGTTGGGATGAAGTAGGCTGTTCCTTCACCCTCAATTTTATGACGAACATCATATGCAGAAGCATGGGAAGCACGTCCTGATCGTCAGGTTCCTGAGGGAGCAAGGGTCATCCCTGCGCCCCTCTTATCCTCTTGGGCCTATCTCTGGTGCTACTGCACTGCAGAGACCGCCCCTGAGCCACTGCATGCAGTGAGTTAAAAATTCTGTTTTTACAGTTCTCCTGCTCGCATGGTCTCTACTAGAGGGTAGGGACTTGCTCGCTTTCTGTCAATGACTTGTGCCTGGAATTTGGGCCGGCTAACTCTCACTAGCCGAGACCCCGGCCTGGATATGTGCCCAAGGTTCCTACCTCTTCCTAAGAGGGACCAGATGGTGAGCCTGCGAGCGCTGCCCCGGCGGAGGCAGACCCAGCCCTGGTTTTCTCTATCCGTCCGCTACATTGCGGTTACACACAGAACGCAAGCCTTAGGACCTCAGACCAGCTTTAATCTGTTAAGGAAATCAGCAGAGAGGGAAGGATGTTTCCAAGCGAGGTTGGCCCACTGAATGTGCCTGCCTTCATCTTGGTGAAAATCCTGAGATGCACATGTCCACTAAGGTGGTGAATTCCACTTAAATGAGTGTGTGCTCCCGCCTAGAGTTGACACAGAGTGCTTTGCTCACAGATATTCTAGAATTTGGGGCTGAGTGACACCTTAGTCGAACCGCTGCTTCCCGTGGGCTCCCTTCACATGAAGCCAGTTTCACTGTAAGCCCAGTTCGTTGTGTCGGCTTGCGGTGCCATTCCCCTCCTATGGACTGGATACGTGCGCAATTCTGGCTCCAGTTGAGTTTTTTTAGCCAAACCCTGTCGAGTTCCTCCATACTCTTCGACGTCCGAAGCCAGGCCTATCACTCGTATGCACTGGTGGAACCTGTGTTAGGCTGGGTCCATATGCTGTGATCCCATATGTGTATTCTTCCACGGTACGGCTCCCTGCGGCGAGCCCGTGTCTTCCCTTGGCAGAGTCTGCTCTGCTGTCACTGTCCGGCTGAGTCTCCCCCTGTCATAGGCTGGAGCCACCCCAGTGACATTCCATATGTTGTACTGCCCGGTCATCCGCCCAGTCCATATGTGTATTCTCCACATGCTACCTCCCTTCGGGCAGGATGTGGCTTCCGCAGCGTCCCTTAAAAAACAACTAGTGCGTTCATCCACTTCCGTATTTATACCCGCGCCGCGGGGGCGGAGTGTGTGATGCATTTCACGCATGCCAATGTACATTGGCTCGTTTTAACAGTACTCGAAGATGACAGGCTCTCTAAGCGTGATCCCAATCAGTCGACTACGACTCCGTTCTGTCCTTCAAGGAATAAGGGTTACATACGTAACCGAGACGTTTCAGTCCAATGCGATAACATTAACTAATATTTTCGGGAAAAAGAAAATCTTCTCGGGTCAGAATGACCCGAACACAACATGAGGGTTAATACCAGGTGTAAATTGGTCTGCTGGTTAGTCCAGTTATCCAATCACATCCTCTGTTGGGACAAAGTCACACGAGTTAATGCATCAAGGAGTTTATTCTGTAAATGCTTTTCCTTCATAGTTTATATGCATGTCTTCTTATTGGATACAAAAAATATCCACCTCAGTTGAGCATATGAGTTTTTCCCCAAAATGGGTGGATGGAAACATACTGTAGGTATAGTGTACATTGAACACTAAACTGAACACATTCTTCTATGAACAGGTTTCAGTGGAATAACATGGCACCACAAGAAAAGCTCCGGCTGAAGAATTGCACTATGGGCCTGTTGTCCGATGTGAGCATCTTAGAAGTGTCTCTACTCAATTATATTATTGCATGCTTTGTGAAGATTTCTTATTTATATGGCTTAATGTCCTGTTTTAGGGTACACATCCAATTCTGCAAGAGGAATGTCATGTTAAGGATGCGCTCTCACGCATAGTAGTTGAGATGATCAAGCAAGAGTGGCCGCAGCACTGGCCGGACATGCTGAAGGAGATGGAGGCCCTGGCTGCTATGGGGGTATCAAGAGTTTTGGCTTGATGTTGTAGGACAGGTCTGCTTCATCCTGCTCCTGAAGTTATGCCTTCCTGTCAGAGTTTAGTTCCAAAAACAAAGTAGGTGTGCACATCCAAAACCCAGAATTGGACTCTGCTGCAGAAAATAAAAGAAGAATGGAGGTCTCTACACACTGAATTAAGGTCTAGAAAGTTTATTTTAAAAAAATTGGGGGGGGGGGGACGGGTAGGTGGGTAGTCAAAATTGTGAGATGTTGCAATATTATTATTTATTTATTTATATATATATATATATATATATATATATATATATAGTCCATGGCAGATATAAGCTTCCATATAGTACTGCACAGAATATGAAGAAAATAAAAACTTTTGGATTCTGGACACAACAAGAACAAACTAGCCAAGACACCCACACAAAAAAAAACACTAAACAAAATGTTCTCTTATTATTGTAATTGGCAAAAATAATTGGTCAAATTTGACACACCTGGTTGGAACTAAACTCTACAGGAATCTTCAGGAGTCAGTGTGAGAACATTCGGTTGATCTGCTACTTAAGCATTTTGCATTCAGATTTAGTAAATATTTTTATTATTATTATTATTAGACTTTATTGTCCACCTTGGTGGAAATTTGTCTTCGACTTCTCCAAACATATATGCATCAGTGACACAACAGTTAAAATGACAAAATACACACAGTTTAGAAGTATGACACTACCACCATCAACATACAACAACAGAAAATGGAAAGCAGCGCAGCCGATTAGAAGTTATATAAAACACAAAGACGCTTTCAGTTTAAATTAAGTTCCTGTATGGCATGGGGAATAAAGGATCTCTTATAAATGTTCCGGCTCGCCCTTGGGACCCTGAATCTACGGCCAGATGGGAGCAACTCAAACTCTGAGTTGAGTGGGTGTAGGGTGTCTGTTGATATCTGTCTGGCCTTCCTGAGTACCGCCCTATCATACATATCCCCAAGCTGCCTTTGTGACTTGCCAATCACCTTCCCTGCAATATTAACAATTTTGGAAAGCTTGTTTTTGTCTTTCACATTCAGATTGCCATACCAAGCTGTTATATTGAACTGTAAAATGCTTTCTACCAGACCCCTATATGCCATCTCAAGAATGTGTTGACTGACCTTGAAGCTCCTCAGCTTTCTAATTAAAAACAATCGCTGGTTAGCTCTCTTAAAAATACTCTCTGAGTTAACATTAAAACTTAAAGTGCAATCAATGATTGTACCCAAGTACTTAAAATTTTCCACTACTTCCACAGGCCGGCTGTTAAGTACAACAGGGGTGATGTTACTGGCCCCTCTTGGTTTCGTTCGTATTATAAGTTCTTTTGTTTTAGTCACATTAATTTCCAGTTTAACAGTCTGACACCAGTCCTGCAGTAAAGTGACTTGGCTAAAATAAGCTTCCTCATGTGCTGCATTATTTTCTGTGAGAAGTCCTACCAAGGCCATGTCATCAGCATACTTAAGTAAACTAACATTGGTGCTGTGCACAGTCATGTCATTTATATAGATTGAAAACAACAGAGGTGACAACACGCAGCCTTGTGGTGCTCCAGTATTTATGACAAGCTCATCTGAGTAGACCCCATTCATTAAGACTCTCTGAGGGCGGTCAGTTAAGAAACTTCTAATCCAGTGAATGAGCCCACCATTCACATTCATCCTATGAAGTTGTTTTAAAAGAATATCAATTTGCATAGTATTAAAAGCAGATGTAAAATCAATAAAAAGAACCCGAGCAAGTGATTTTGGTTGTTGCAGATGTTTAGCTATTTGATTTACAAGAGTAAGAGTTGCGTCCTCTGCCATTCCTGCCATACAGGAATAATAGGGCTGCCCTCTAATAGTCGACTAACCTTTACTCGACTAACAGGCTTAGTCGACCAAGATTTTATTAGTCGGTAAGTCAAAGAAAAAAAACTCCACAGGAAGTGGCGAAGTCACGCAGTCCGTGAGGGACAGATTGTTAATGGCAGGTCATGTGGTAATTTCAGTCTGTTGAGCAGAAAATCCAAACGTTCGCCTATCATCCATCAACCTTAAATATGGCTTATCATTTGAAACATGTAAGTAGTAGAAACTTTACATGGCTGGTCACTCTAGTCTAACGTTAACCTAGATCAAATGTGCGCTATTATTATTACTTTTGTAAAATATTGGAAAAAAATACGATGCGTTTGCTGACGTTTCTGTGTCCCTGAACTGCAGCGCTTCACATAAATGAACCAAAACTCATAATATAGGATGCGTGCCTCACAGACATGATAAATATATCCATAGAAAGCTGGAAATATTAAACGATTTTCAACCAATTCAAGTGGAAAACAAATATTCTCAGATTAATCTTTATGAAACGTGCATATAGGAATATCCACTAATGCGGAGATGACAAGTCAGCATCATCGACTTAATCTCTGCAGCCGAAAACACAGAAAACATTATCAATTAATTATTAAAATGTTAATAATTTTGTATATATAAATACACACACATGCATGTATATATTTAAGAAATATGTGCATGTATATATTTTATATATATTTATACATAATTAATATTACATATAAATATAAATATTTAATATATTAATAACAAATTTTTCTTAAATATATACATGCATGTGTGTGTATTTATATATACAAAATAATTATACACACTACACACACATATATTATGTAAACACAAACTTTTATTTTGGATGTGATTAATCATTTGACAGCCCTAATATATATATATATATATATATATATATATATATATATATATATATATATATATATATATATATATATATATATATATGGCAATTAAAGGCTCATTGTAATGATATGGCTTATTAATATACACGTGCAATTAGTTGACTAATCGCTTAAATGAACTACTACTAGTCGACTAGAAAAATCTTTATTCAAGGGCAGCCCTAGTAAATAATGACATGTAAAATAATCATTTTCTATTTGAATAAACTATCTAATTCTCTTTAGGATGCTCAGACAGAACTCGTAATGCTTGTCCTGCTGCGGTTAGCTGAGGACGTGATCAAATTTCAGACATTACCCCCTCAAAGACGGCTAGATATCCAGCACAACCTTACAGAGAATATGGACAGCATCTTCACCTTCCTGCGGGGCATTTTGATTATGCAGCTTCATATGAATGAGTACAGAAAGTCGGTGAGTTCTTCAGACAATTCATGATTATAAGCAAAACATTTTTGAAATGATTTGTGTGCTTTTTCTACAGTCTGGTGCATGCAACAGAATATTGTCACGTTCATATGATTTGAATAGATTTATTTATGTTGTTTTCTAGAAATGTGCTGCTGGTCAGGAATTGAAGGTGAGTCGGATTATTTAGCCTTACTTATCAGGTATAATTTTTTGGAAGGGGTTAGTGCTGTTCTTATTAGGGGCCAAAACGGTTCATTTACAAATATACAGTGTGAAACATACCTTGAATTTCTAGGATTAACTAATTACTTCTAGCAAATCGCTTGCACGCTTCACGATGAATGCGGCTAAGGATTACACTCAGGGTACATTACGGCATGTTTTCTACTGTATGTACGACGTTCTCAATGTAATTCATAATCCCACGTTTATAATGAACAAACCGTTATGGTTATTGTGTTATTACAAACTGAGTACGTATACATCAGTAAACACTAGTGCTGTCAAACGATTTAAATATTTAATCGCGATTAATCGCATTAATGTCATAGTTAACTCGCGATTAATCGCACATTTTTATCTATTCTAAATGTCTCTTGATTTCTTTTTGTCCCATTATTTTTTCTTATTTTAATGCTCTTTTCAACATGGAAAAGTGGATCGGCTTGCTTTGTGCAAATGTTTTTTATTGAAAACAACATTGACATATACTGTGTTCAATTTCACACTAAAACATTCTCACTTGGAGCAAATAATCTCTCACACAATGTAACACTGTCCATCAATAAAAGGGTGAAAGAAATACTGACGAGGTCCTGATATTGACGAGGGGGCGGAGAATTCGCATTAGCTGTGTGTGTGTGTGTTTGTGTTTGTGTGTGTGTGCTTGGCCATCAAGTGGTATTACTTGTCAATGGGACCATTTGGCAACTTTTTAAAAAGCAAACTTTCCATTCAGAATCTTATTGGCGTCCATTTCGGCGTCTCGCGCTCGTCATCCACTCAAAACGTAACGTTAACCTACTATTTGGCCGGCTCGCAAGCACAGACAAGTGTGTGTGTCGTGCCTGTTGTTTTGTTTCCAGTCTAGCTAGATCCGCTTGCGCTTTCAAAACCATTGAAATGAATGGGTTTCATAGCGCAGCGCCACGCATGCCGCGTCCTGTTGCAAAAGCATGTGAAAAAAACTACAAAGTTTGCTAGGCCAAATAGACCGTTAATCGCGCAATAAAAAATGGTCTGTCACTGTCATGTCTGTCACCAGAATGGTCTGTCACTACCTCAAAACGACGCCCCTCTAGTTACTCACGCCATTTCTCCACTGCCCACACGACTGCCATGCACTCTTTCTCTGCTGCCGAATAATGCTTTTCAGCCCCTTGTAAAAGCCTCGAAGCGTATGCAACTACATGCTCCCCTTGCTCAGTCTCTTGAGTAAGCACAGCTCCAAGTACTACATTACTAGCATCAGTCTGCACTCGAAAGTCTTGACTAAAGTCAGGAGGTCGCAGTATTGGAGCAGTCTGAAGAGCTTCTTTAAGGGTTTCAAAGGCGTGCTGACATTCGGCCGTCCAGTCCCACCTAACACCTTTTTTCTTCAGAGCGTGAAGAGGTGCAGCTAGTTCAGAAAAATGTGAAATAAAGCGATGATACCATCCTGTGAGTCCTAGAAAGCGCTGGACTTCTTTCACTGATTTAGGAACAGGGAAGTTTTTTATGACTTCAATCTTCGCAGGTTCTGTCCTCACTCCTCCTTCCGATACGACATGCCCCAGGAAAGTCAAGGATTTTCGCAGAAGATTACACTTCTTTAAATTCAGTGTCAGACCTGCCGTCTCAAGCTCAGCAAGCAATCGACGAAGGTGCCCGAAATGTTCCTGAACACTGGGGGAATAGATCACAATATCGTCGATATAAACAAAGCAAAACTTGCCAATGAAGTCTCGCAGAATAGAATTCATCAGTCGCTGAAAAGTGGCTGCAGCATTTTTCAAACCGAAAGGTAGACGTAAAAATTCATATTGGGCATTTTTGGTCACAAAAGCAGTTTTAGCAATGCTGGCCTCATCCATTCCTACTTGCCAATAGCCACTTCTTAAATCCAACGTACTGAAAACGGTAGCCCCATACAGAGAAGTAAGAATATCATGTACTTGTGGCATAGGAAAGCCATCAAGGGGCGTCTTTGCGTTCAAAGCTCAATAATCCACGCAGAAGCGTATGCTTCCATCCTTCTTCGGTACAAGTACTATTGGAGCAGCCCATGGAGAAGTAGAATGTCTGATAATTCCTTTCTCCAGCATTTTAGCCACTTCATCATCAACAAACTTTTGCTTATGGATGGGTATTGGATATGCTCTCTTCCTCACAGGCCCTTCATCTTTGATATTGATCTGATGAGTAACGATGGAAGTACATCCTAATGAATCTGTGCACACTGTAGGCCAATCGAACAACAGTTGTTCCAATTGTCTTTTTTGACTCCTTGAAACCTCTGCTACACTCACTAACTCCTTTACCATGGCTTGACTAGTATCAGTCAGTGGTCTAGTTGGAAGTGCTACATGCAATCTTGTACTTGAGGGTGATGTAACAGCAAGCTTCAAGTCACCAGGGTTAGTAAAGTAATGTAGCTCCTCGTCTTCGGGGAACTTATATGATGTAGTGGAAAAATCCAACTTCACCCCAGAAAGAGTCAGAAATTCAAGTCCCACGACGAGAGGGAATGCCAAATCACAATTTCGCATCACGAATGCTCTTAAAGAATAAACTTTGCCATACACTATACACTGCAGAGAAACTTTACCAAGTGCATGTTGAATATGGCCATTTGCTAGGGAAAATGTCTGACCCTTACTTGACTGTAAAACCTCCCCTACATGTTTGATTTGATTCCAAAGAGACTCTTGGATCAAAGAATAAGTACTACCTGTATCAATAATTGCCTCCAAAAGTTGGTTTCGAATATTCAAAGGCAGCAATAGAGTAGACATGGAGGATTTAGCATAAATAGCAATGTTATAGTTGTTCGACCTCCCCCGATCAGATTTTCCTCCTCCACGCAAAGTTGCTTGTTCAGCTTGCCTCTGCCTGCAGAAAACTCTCTCCTCGTTCAGGTCCCATTCCACCAGTGTGCCCACACGAACTAGTTCCTCTATTGTGGATACAGTCCCTCTCAAGATGCTGGCAATGCGTGGATTACAGTTCCTCAATATAGCTTGAAGAATGTCACGTTCTGTCATGATTGGCTTTAACCTCAAGCACAAAGCTCTGTACTGATAGACAAAAGATCGAATGTTCTCATCCACTCCCTGTTTTCTTTCTCTGATCCTTCTCTCTGCCTCCACCTCATGATCGTCAGGTAAAAATGACTTAAGAAAAATTGTCTTAAATTGTGTCCAGGTCTTAATACGTGCTTTCTCGGCTATCCACCAGTCCTTAGCCGTATGGGTAAGCACCGATGACAACATAGACAAGGTCTCAGCACTACTCAAAGGTTGGATAGCGAGATATTCTTCACACTTCTCTAAATATGCAATAGGATCTTCTCCATCCAGACTACTGAATTTAGGAAACTCAAGATTTATGGGAGTTTTAAACTGAATGGATCGAGAATATGTTCCCAGCAGGGGAGTTGAATGTCTAACCGGTGTAGAAGTAGCATCTCTCCGCTTAAGGCACTCCATAACTGCACGTCCCAGATCCTGAATGCTCTCCTCTAAGGCTTGCTTCACTTGCTGACATTCCTTCTTGGACCCTGAAATTACCGTTTCCTCTCGTTGTCTCACGTATCTTTCACAGTCTTTGACTTGGACTTCTAAAGAACTGATTCTGTTCTGATAGGTATCTAAACTATCCAGCAGCTGGGTTTCAAACTTATCAAAACGAGTGTTCAGTTTTTCCTCTACCTCACTCATCTTATTTTCCAAATATCGAACTCTGTTGGCCAAAACCATAGAGATAAGACTTTCATCTTCCTCTTCAGGAGGCGGGGGAAGTGGTAATTGAGAAATATCTTCAACCTCATTAGCCTCGTCATCCTGCTCCTGTTCCAAATAAAGACTACTAAAAGATTGAATCAAATCTCGTATGGGCTCTCGATGCACCGTAAACGCGTCTGCACTATAATTAGGTGCTCTTTGATCCTCATTCCTATCCTCATCAATATCAGCCATTTGGAAATATTATGAGGAAGTAGAATTCTCAAGAGGGTAAAACACCAAATTTACACACCGCAACTTACACCCAACATAATCCAGAAGGTCCCTGTTCGGGCGGCATTATGTAACATACCATCTTGAATTACAAAAGACAGAATGAAATCATTGTAAAGAGGTAGGGTACCATCCGTTGAGTTTTGCAGTGATTATATTTAAGTGCTAAACAAGTAACATCAAACGTGTTCACCCTCCATGCAAACACATACCATATTTACATATCAGTTCAATCATTGGTGTGATATAAAAACCTGAGTTTCCAACGCAGTTTGTCACAATTCCAGCATTCTCAAAGTCAATGATGGCACGATGATTTCAGTCAATAAACATCCACAGGAAGTTCCACAGGTTTAAGCAATTCGAAGACGACACTCAGTCAATAATCCATTGATAATTCCCACGCGCACTAAGCGGTCGAACTTAGCATAAAACAGTCCAATAGAGAAACTTGTCTCAAGACGTATTTAGCATGTGCATAATTAGAACATTAGGCTTAAATGAGTAGCAAAGAAAATAACAATTTCTCCTCAAAAACCAAACCACAGATGAAAATCTTGAGCTACAGCTCACATCCATGTTTTTGTCACCTCTCTCTAACTTCACTTCTTCTCTGCTTATATCCGCATACTCCCCCCTCAGAACTGAGGACATCGCCCCCTAGTGCAGCGGCAAAGCACTAGTAACAGAGAACTCAACCTAGAACTGTTGCAAGTTACTCTACCCTGCCAGTACATACAAAGATAGATCAAAGTGACATTACGCTAATCAACCATTCAGAAACGTCCTGTTCGAGCCTTAATTGTCGAACTTCTTTGCGGCCGTCATCTTGTTCGGGTCTGACTCCGGTTCAAACTGATACGGTTGCACAGATGTGTCCTCAGAGACTCCCGCTGTCATTCTTTCTCCAAAATATACCCTCAACTGTTGTCAAGGAAACACTCCACGTGTGTTGTGACAAAACGCCCGCAGAACAGAGGGGCGGAGTCAGCGAATTCCACCTCATTATCATTTAAAGGCATATGCACTGAAACGGCGTGCTGAAAACAGAGCTGTTTTTGACCAGGTAAAATGAGTGTTTTCTTACAATACTAATGAGAATTTTTAATTAAAGTATATTACAAACTTTTCATTTAGACCCTAAAGAATAAAATTAACTTGTATGAAAATGGCATTATATGACCCCTTTAAGAACGTCCACTGTGAAAAATATTAAAGTAGTCATGTATTTTTTTTTACATTTTATAGTATTTTAACCCTGATCTGTACTTATAATGTTTATAGGATTTTTATATCAAAAACTGTCATAATTTAGAAATAAAAGGTATTAATAAAAAAATAAAAAAAATAAAAATTCTACTCTGGATTTATCTTACCTAGGCAAGTATAATGTGCATGCTAAACATTTCAGTTTTTAGAATTTTTACGTGCAGGCAAGAATATATGTCACATGTACCTAATCTTCATCCTCTTCACAACATTTCCCATCACCCTCCTTGGCTCCCACCTGCACATCATTTCCAATTACTCACACCTGCTCCTCATCATCACCCTCATCACTACCACTACAAAAGCACACTCCTCACCACAGTTCTCTGTCCAACCTCAGTGATGTTAAGTGGACTATTCCCCCTGTTCCTCAGCGTCTTCCTTCCCTCTGTCTCTCCACCAAGATCTTAGTTTGGACTCTCCCTCACCTGCTCACCTCATCACTCTACTATTGTTAAATTAACTCACTATTCACCACCTATCTTCCTCTCCTGTGTCTACTTGCCGTAATAGAATGTCGGACCAATACTGATAAAATGGATCCTTCTGTGCTTCTACTATGCATGGACCAAGACCAGCATTCTCTCGAGGCCCACACCGCGTCGTTCCTCAACCTGGCGTGCCTTACCTCCTTCTCCGACCAATCATTGAGTGTCTTTTTCCATACTAGCCTCAATGCGGAGACGAAGGCACGCCTGCCCGGTGTGGGACCTCAAGAGAACTTCGAGGCTTTTGTGGAGTTGGTGTTGGCCGGCTGTGAGTCCCCGTTCACCATCGGCCTTTCAAGCGATGGTGAACTCGTGTCCATTCCAGAGCCTCATCCCAAGATGGCCGCCACCACTCCAGAGCCTCGTCCAAAGATGGCCGCCGACATTCGAGAGTATCATCATGTCATGGCCGCCGTTCCAGCGCCTTGTCCCAAGATGGCCGTCGCGCTTGAGCCCTCGCCCAAGATGGTCGCTGTCGCTCCTGAATCTCCAGTCTCCGTCCTCATTCTGAGTCCAGAAGTGACTCCAGTTTTCGTCCTCACCCAGAGCCCAGAAGTGAGTCTAGTCATCGCCCTCTTCCAGAGCCGAGAAGTGAGTCTAGTCATCGCCCTCTTCCAGAGCCGAGAAGTGAGTCTAGTCATCGCCCTCTTCCAGAGCCCAGAAGTGACTCTAGTCATCGCCCTCTTCCAGAGCCCAGAAGGGAGTCTAGTCATCGCCCTCTTCCAGAGCCCAGAAGTGACTCTAGTCATCGCCCTCTTCCAGAGCCCAGAAGTGAGTCTAGTCATCGCTCTCTTCCAGAGCCCAGAAGTGACTCTAGTCATTGCCCTCTTTCAGAGCCCAGAAGTGAGTCTAGTCATCGCCCTCTTCCAGAGCCCAGAAGTGACTCTAGTCATCGCCCTCTTCCAGAGCCCAGAAGTGACTCTAGTCATCGCCCTCTTCCAGAGCCCAGAAGTGAGTCTAGTCATCGCCCTCTTCCAGAGCCCAGAAGTGACTCCAGTCATCGCCCTCTTCCAGAGCCCAGAAGTGACTCCAGTCATCGCCCTCTTCCAGAGCCCAGAAGTAAATCCAGTCTCCGCCCTCTTCCAGAGCCCAGAAGTGACTCCAGTCTCTGCCCTCTTCCAGAGCCCAGAAGTGACTCCAGTCTCCGCCCTCTTCCAGAGCCCAGAAGTGACTCCAGTCACCGCCCTCTTCCAGAGCCCAGAAGTGACTCCAGTCTCCGCCCTCTTCCAGAGCCCAGAAGTGACTCCAGTCTCCGCCCTCGTCCAGAGTCCTTTGGGGGTACCAGTCTCCGGCTCCACCCTGGCCACCTGAACCAGCATGTCCTCGTCAGCCTCCAGGGCTCCACTATTCCTCCTGTCTCCAGTGTCTTCCTTCCCTCTGTGTCTCCACCAAGATCTTCGTTTGGACTCTCCCTCACCTGTTCACCTCATCACTGAACTATTCACCACCCATCTTCCTCTCCTGTGTACACTTGCCATAACAATATGTGTGAATATTTTTTTATTTAATTTTTTATTCCCTTCAATTTGGCGTTGATTAACTCTGCTGAGGGACCAGATAGGATCCTGTTATTTTCACAGATAGAAGTCCTCTATGGTAGCGTTCTGCTCTAAAAATAAATCTGAGATTCTGTTGGTTACAGAGCTAGGCCTAGTAGAATTTTCTTTTCATGCATTTTGAGAAATGAACAGATGTAAAATAAGCATAGCAAATGATAAAAATGAACAGTATTGCACAGTAATTGTTTATGATAGATATGTTCTCAAATTCTTGGGTTACAGGAATAATGTATTTGAGCTTTTCTATAACTCAAACAGTAGAGCGTTGGCGCTTGCAAGGCTAAGGTCATGGGTTCAATTCCCAGGGAAAGCGAGAACTAATAAGAATGTAAAATGTGTACCTTGAAATGCAATGTAAGTCGCTTTGGATAAAAGCGTCTGCTAAATGCATAAATGTAAATGGACAAAGACCAAGTGGAGGAACTTGGCTTTTATCCGATTTTTCAATATTACCTGTCAGACATTTTGAATTGTTCTTGTTCATCAGATATGCACCAAATTTGGCTCTGATCTTTAGACCATAATTGCTAAAAGCTAACTTTTCTATATATATTCAAATATAATATTCAATCCATTCTCGGGTAATGCTTAAACACATTTGATCGAAGAAGTAGTTTTTAATTTTTAAATGATTTCTTTTAGTTTCTTAATGTAATCTATCTGCTCTACATTCACCATCTAGTAGCGTATATGTCAGATGAAATTAGCTGTGTTTTTTGTCTTTTTTCTCCCAGACAAAAGTTCACTGGCGAGTTGGTGTGGCCACTCTCAACACTCTGGCTGGCTACATTAATTGGGTTGATTTGAGCCACATCACCAATGAAAACTGCCGTCTTTTGGAGATCTTGTGCCTGTTGCTTAGCGAACCCGAGCTTCAGTTGGAGGCTGCAGAGTGTCTGCTAATTGCTATTAGAAGGAGAGTGAGTTACTGCTGCAATTACATTATACTACTTTCTCTTTTCAGCTGCTTTTCTGAAATAAAACTTTCCACATTTATTTATTTATGCTGCAACTCATTGCTGTCATTGGAGTCTAGTACACTAACACTTTTCTACGGTGGCCGAAAGAGCTCAACGCGCTGCAACTTAAAAAAACACATGCAAATAGAAAAAACCCCCCAACAAATTAAGAAAACATCTTAAGTTTTACAACAAACATGTGCTCCAAATACTCACAACACAACCAAATACAGTGCTGCAAAAGTTCACAACACAAACAAATAAAGAAACGCGCTGCAAATAGCACAGAACACAGAGGAAATGTATTCAGGGGAGCCCAATAAGTGACGAACCCGGCTGTGTATGTTATGATGAGGTGGAAGCAGGATCCAATTGCAGCACACTTTATTTAATAAACTCAAACTACATAAAGACTCTGGCTAGGGCACAAGACTCAGGAACAGAACCACCAACATCAATGTTACAACAACAAGAACTCACAAAGACTGGACTGAAACACAGGGCTTAAATACAAGGCCAAACAAGCTAAACAAGATAACAAGGGGGCGTGGTATACATGAACACAAACGAGGAGCGGGAAAACTGAACAGGACTGAACCAAAAGCACAAAGACAGGGGGAACACAGACAGACATACAACAGTGTACATCGTACACTCACTTGTTTTAATTCACTCCTTCAATTTAACTGAATAAGTAGACTAACATAGGGAATAGAGAATGAGGGTTTAGGGAGTGATTTCGGATTTAGCCAAAGTAGTTTGCTACTTTGACTTTAACTGTTGCAAATAAATACATTTTATACAAATAAAACTTTTTATAATACACTATTTATCTGTGTGTGTGTCTCAACTTTAAAAATTGCTGTCTCATCTTTGGACCCTATACATTACCTAACATTTCTTACCTATGAAACTTATTAAAGCTCCAGTTCGTAACTTTTTTGGGTTAAAAATTATGCTAAATAAATGTTTGAGCAAGTACATAACCAGCCAGTGTTCAAACTCTCTGCTTGCCTTAGCTCGATTAAAAACGGTAAGCTTGTAATAATGTTTTTAACTCCAGTGGTACTGGTGGATTTCCACGGGAAATTCGAGCATGTCTTTGCGTCATTACGTCACATCTGTACACACACACCTCTACACACACATTTGTACACACACATCTGTACACATGAAGAAGAATCTCGGCTAGTATAAGCTATATTGCGAGTGAGGATGTTGGAAGTGGAGATTTATAGCCTTTTCTCACAGCACTTGATATAATTAAACTTATTCATTTGATTCAAACGACAATCACCAGTGACAACTGGAGATTGACCCGCTGTAACATGCAAAAGACTTTGGACTGAGAGTTTGGAAGAAGAGACTGAAGGTGAAGGTGAAAATTCTTATTTTGGTAGTACTTCAAAAAAAAATTAATCTTTGATTGCGAATGCCAGTATCCACACCGACTGACAGCCCCACATTCTCCTCAAACATTGTGTTCATCCGCGCTGTGCCGTGCCGAGGTACAACCCACGTAAAGTTGACAATTCCGCGAATAACTGCAATAGCAGATTTCGAACGGAGATGGAGACAAAGAGGAAAAATTGCGGACTGCAGCTTTTAACAAAATTACAAAAATGTTTACGATGTTACTGATGTATAGATTAATATCTTACCCTAATTTTTTTTTTCTCTTTTTTTTCAGCTCTTTGTTAACTCTATTACATTTCGTATATTGTATCAAAATTGTATGTCATAAACATGTCGGGCCCTAACTTACACCCGGCGCAATGCAGCGCTAAACGGCATGTTGATTGTAGGAATCAGCAGGTGGTATTTGCTTCCTTTTACAAAGAAGCGCAATTTGTGGTTCAGTGTTGGACAGGGCAAGCCTGATGTCTTCCTTTGCCCGGAGCTGATTTCGGTAAAAAATTTTGAAGGCATTCAATATATCCGGCCTCGCACAGATAAGTAGAGGCGAAAGGAAGAAGTAGCCTAATTTCATGGCAGCGTCAGACAACTGAGGATATTAAGTCATCACACTCAACCAAACCGAAGGGAGAGAGCAAGAGCTACAGAGGTTTCGCAATCTGGTGTCATTCTTTAAATGAAAGGTCTTTTCCGATCTCCAATAGATGACGTAGGCACGCCGAAAAAAAACCCCACTGTTACAGTACAATCAACACGGGAAAATCTCACAGTAAAACAAGCATCTGTGCAAAATATGATACCTCTGTGTTTTGCCAGATGAGAAGTTTATGTATCATCTTTTTACTATTTTAATTGTTTTTATAACTATCAGTGGATAGTATGTAATCCGACTGATTGCACTGTATTCTATTTTTCCATCCTCCTTTTAAATCTAGACTGAACTCAAGTGGCACTGAGAAATGAGTAAGAGACAAAAATAAATTACTCTGAAATGTTAATTGGGAAATTGAGAGTTGAATTAACTGAAATCCTCTCTGAAATAATGGCAGAATTGTTGTTTCAGTCCTTCAACATGTTGAGCGACTGTGTTAATCAAAAGACAGATATTTATCCATCTCTTGCACATAGTCAGCAAAGTTGGGAAACATGCAACATTTTCATTAATCACCTGATCACGCCAACAGCTGCAGCTCACAGCTTTGTATTTTCTTAAACAAACACATCGCTTCACTTCAGAAAGCCTTTATTACTCAACCACCAGCCCCCCCCCCAACCCCCCCCCCCCCCCCGCCCTCACAAAAAAAATTAAGTTAATTTTATTGCTATTTAGTGTCAAGAGTTTATGTTTGAGTGATCAGTTGAAGTGTTTTTGATTGAGCAAATTATTTTCTTCCACAGGGTGATTTAGAGGACCGCAAGCCATTTTTGGTACTCTTTGATGAAGTCATAATGAACTATATCCTGTCTGCTGCACAGTAAGTAAACATTTAAGCTTATTCAGGGTTCCTCAAATCTGGCCTTGGAGGGCCACTGTCCTGCAGTTTTTAACTTTAAAACCTGATCAAACTCACCTACCAGCAATTTTCAAGTATCTATAGGACTTTTCACACGGCGCTTAACCACGGGTTATCGTCGTTCTAAACACTGCTTTTAACCCCAGGTAAAAGAGCGTTTCACACTTGTAATTTAGATGCGGGTTAGCACCTGTTACGTCCCTGTGGTCTTGCGCATGTGTGTTTCTTTTGTTTCTCTTTCTCTACTGTCTATCACATTCTTAGGCTTGCGTCACCACTCGCCCGCTGTTGGCTGAGAGAGATGTCAATCATCATCTACGTCGTGACGTCATCTTTCCTCCCGCAGCCTATCGGGTTTACCACGCGAGTTTAAAAGGAAGCTGAGAGGAGCGCATGTCAGCTTGTTTCTTTCTGTCGCTCTGCTTGTCGCTTTTGGGTTTATTATTTTCTGTTACAGACATTGTCCTGTTGTTTTTTCTTTCGGCCATGACGGCGTGTTTTGAGATTACCAAGTGTAATGTGTTCTGCCATGCCGGCGTGTTCTGAGATTGCCAAGAGTAATGTGTTCTTCTGCCATGATGGCGTGTTTTGAGGTTACCAAGAGAAATTCGGACAGGTAATATGTCACGTGACGTACACAAAGCAACACTTAGCAAACTCGATGTATACAAACACCAGGTAAGGAAGTGAACGCCACCCTTGGATGTTTTGTTATTAGTTAGAGCAGTTAGAGAGGGCGCTTTGCGCTGAAGAATTTTGTCTTTTCTTTTCTTTTTGTTATTAGTTAGTTAAGAGGTTGGGATTAGTTAACGGGAGTTTGTTTTGTTCTTTTCTTTCATTTGGCTTCACAAATTTATGTCCTTATTCTCTTTGATTATTTACTTTGAACTCTCAATTTTGTATCTATTTGGTTTATTTTTCTTCGTGTCCATTACTATTATTATTGTTCACCTTTTTTTCACCAGTACAATAAACCATACTTTTTCTTCACTATATTTTGTTGTGTCGTCTCTTGCCATTTTAATTACACCACCGTCTGATCACAACCTCAATGTTGCCCCTTTAAAGACTTTTGCCAAGGGGTGACCCTGAGCAGGGGTTGATGGATTTTCATCCAGGCCACAGCCAGGGGAGTGCCCCACGGCGGTGTTGACGGAGGGAGGAGTCATGGAGGAATGCTGGTGAGGGCCGCCATGGGGCTGACCGGAGACGACGACGGCAAGGATGGAACCCACCGCGCAGCCGATGAACCAAGGTGGTGGAGAGATGGTGAAGATCTTGGCGGCCGTGACAGCCGCAACGACGACCTCCCAAGAGCTAGGTGGGGATCCGGAGGTCTGAGGCTGAGTTGGAGCGACCGAGGGCGGAGGTGGAGCCTGAGGTAGGGCAGAGCAAGCCCCGAAGGGGTGGAGGACCAAAGAGCAGCGGACGGTTTGCAAGTCCGCAGCGGAGGCGAAGCGATGTCTGATCTCGATGGAGCCAACGTGCAAAGGGAGTCCGGCGAGGCTGAATGGCCGATGGTCCACTCTAAGGTCGAGGGTGGAAGGAGCGCAGGTGCGCATGCAGGTGCGGGAGCCAGGGTGACAGGTCGAGGCAGAGCATAGCACACCGAGGCTGCAGGCGGAGCCTCGGGCTCCTCATGCCCAGGAGGAGATGGCTCCTGAAAGGTCCGAGGTGGTACCACACTGAAGTGGTATATACCACACATTGTTTTTATACATTGGTGCCGAGAGACTGAAGGGTGATGGAGATGACTGGGTGGCACAGATGGCTAGAGACTAGGGAATAGACTGAAGTCCAACGCAAAAACCCCCCAAAAATAAAGTGTTCGGAATAGTGAACGCTGATCCTCAAGACGCCAGCTCCACATATGTCGCGAAGCTCCCTCGAGGAACCTCACCGGATAACTGCACGTTTCGAGATCCAAAAATTCTTCTAAATGTTTCTCGAGGGAGCGTTCTCCCTGCTCAAGGCACATGAGTCTTACTGCTGGAAAGTTCATGGTGCAAGCAGGGGTGAAAACGGAACAAAAACACTGAAACACAGAAAATTAATTCTTATACACGCGTTCAACTTTGTTTGGTCCGGTGTTCTGTCACGGGAGGTTGCAAGCAAACAGGCGATGAATAAAGTTCCAACAAGTTTAATAACATTAAATATTCCACAAGATAGGCAAACAGTCAGTAGCAACACACACTATACACCAAACACTGAACTGAAACAGAACTGAACATATATCCAGGTGGTAATGGTAATGACTGAACATAATTAGTGTTCGTGACAACAAATGAGGGACAAAGGCAGATGATGACAAAACATAACGAGTCCAAACTAACGTGAATGTGACAGCTAGAGCCTTTGAGTAAACCGGTCACGTGCTGCGTTTGTCCAGTCAGTGACCCTGGCAACGCGAGTATGCAAATAAGGACGTTAACCCAAGGTTTAGGAATGTATAGTGTGAAACTTTTCCTTATGAATACCCAGGATTAATTGTTAACTTTATTGTTAATTGGTAAATTATGAGCAGTGTGAAACGTGAAGCATGATAACACAGGATTCCCGGGGTTTAGAATGACCCAGGGTTAACTATGTCAAGTGTGAAAAGACTTCTGAAGACCTTGATTAGGTTGTTCATGTGTGTTTGATTAGAGTTGAATCTGAACTCTGTAGGACAGTGGCCCTGCAGGAATAGATCTGAGGAACCCTGCTCTAAATGACTGGGATTCTATTTGAATGACTGTAAACAGCTGTTTGGATTTTATTTTATTGTAGGTTGGGAGATGGTGCCGGTCTGTGTAACCAGTGAGTTCAATTTTTTCTATTGAAACCAACTCAAGCTTAGTTTAGAACAAGTTTTAGTTAGTTTTACCAAAACTGTCCATCATCCAATTCAGATCATCGGGTGCCGTCGTGGAAAGAAGATACACCTTTTTGAAGAGGCTGTGTCAGGTTCTCTGTGCCCTGGGTAGCCAAATCTGCTCTCTAGTGGTGAGGTGATCGCATGAGCATCACTGTTGTCTATCATTTATCCTTTTTTTCCTCTTATGACAAATGCAGAAGATTTGTATGTTTCTCTTTAGTGTTTTAGAGTTCCTGTTAACCTGAATAAATACATGGAAGCTCTTCTTGCCTTCACTACTCATCCCAGCCAGGTTGAACTGCATTATAGCTACTCAGTGAAACTCATTGGTCAACCTTTACGATGTTTTACTAAATCTTGCATTTCATATTTAATCATGTATTTATATATTACTTTAAACAGTTTCTGAGGTCGTCCACTCAAAAGACCTGGGTAAACTTATTCTCACATGAAGTTATTTCGTGGGATCCTGCAATTTGCCAAATGACCATCAAATATTTAAGATCAGCAAGGATCAATCTTGTGAAAGTAAGTGCTGTGTATCCCAGACACAGAGCAGTTTTGAGTAATTGCTATCATACTTAATCATACTTAATTGCTCTGTTTGCCTTTTACAGACTGGATTTCCCTCCAAGAATGATTGTCCAGGTTGTGAATTCTCCAGAGTGGACTTTGATAGTGATGAAGATTTCAACTGCTGCTTTAATTGTGAGTTATTATTGGTCAGTAACTAGTTAGTTAAACGTACTGTTATCACATCAGTTTTAAAGGTTAAGCACCCTTTTAAAAGTAAATCAATGCATTGCAGAGTAATTCATGTTGATTAACCGCAAGAATCTTATTTAGTTGATGACAACACAGAAACCCAGTTACTGACAACATTGCTTATTTTAACTAAACATGTACGATCCTGTAATTATCTGATTATAATTTTCCAAATCCTTTGTTCAGCTGAAGTGAGTTCAAATGGTGATTCAGTCTTTTTGTAAAGATCATCAATTACTAAATTAGTTCAATTCGGCTGTAAAGCAGCTCTGCAGTAAACTATGAAGTCATCTTCCAGCTCAGTTCTCATCAAATAGTGTCAGTGCATTGCAGTGTGTGTGAGAGAGAGAGATTAAAGGTTCCAGTTATTGATTTTGTACCTTCTGATGGTACCAGCTCGTTCTGCCCTTTCACTGACTAGAGGACAGGAGAGAACATGGACTTATAGGCGGATAATGAATATTTAGGGGTTCAAGCACGAAGTGCTGAAACCCTATTGTTATTGTTAATTTTCCCATGATGCAACATTCAGACATAAAACTGATCGGGCAGAACGAACCGTAAGTCGTAGAGCTTTGAAACTTTGGGGGCTGGTAGTACTCACACCGCCTACAACGTCACCAAGGCCCGCCCCGATTGGCCCATAGGTGGCGCTACAGCGGCCAAAAGTACGAAACGGCTCATAACTCCTCAACCGTTAGGCGTAGGCTCAAGTGTCTTACATCGTTGGAATCCTTGGCTCAAGCCGGACAAGATACCTGCCTCGGATTGGCTCGTCACCCTGGGTACATTTTCGGGTATTTTGGGTTTTTCCAAAAACCTACTTTTGCGAACTAGTCCTAGGTTTTTGGCCCGGCCGGAACCAAACCAGTGCAGCGAGATTCTATGGAGTCTGAATGTCAATAATTATCAAAAAAAAGTGGAAATTTCGGTTCACGGTCCCTAAGGGACGCCAAAACGTTCCGAGTGGGAGGAGCCCCTTTTACTAAATTGGCTATAACTCGTGAACGGAACGAGATATTTTCACCAAACTCAGCGCACCTGTGTAAGAGCTCATTCTGTGGTCGCCTGAAAAAGGACGCGGCGACTGGCCACTTGGTGGCGCTATAACTGTTAAAAAGGTGTCAAAATGATGTTTTTTCAATGGCAAATCCCATGAAATGGCTAAAAGCGGCCCTCTTCCTGCCTGATTTGCATACAACCTGACAAAACCGGGCGTGCGCATGCGTCACCTGATCCTAAAGAGGCTTGGAAACTTTTATGGACGTCGGGCCATCGGTGGCGCTTTAACTGCTATAAAGGTGAAAAAATGCTCCATAATATCCTACGCAAAATGACATTTAAATGACTGAAAAATGGTCTGCTCTGCTCAGAACTTCACCAAATTAGCTGAGCACGTGCGCCATATTATTCTAAAGAAGCGTGCAAACTTTTATGGAGATCGGGCCATCAGTGGAGGTGTCACAGTTTAAAAGGTAAAAAAAAAAATCACCACATTTCCATGATAAACGAGCTAAAAGGGCAGAAAACTTACTTTTTCCTCTCCGAGGCACATGTTAAAAGGCTTGATAAAGTTTTTGGAACGCAGCAGCGCAAGCGGCAAGTGCCTAGACCCTATGGTTTTTTTTTTAGAGGCCTTTTTGTGGCCCTTTTTTAGGCCATTATTAGGGGTTCAAGCACGAAGTGCTGAAACCCTATTGTTATTGTTAATTTTCCCATGATGCAACATTCAGACATAAAACTGATCGGGCAGAACGAACCGTAAGTCGTAGAGCTTTGAAACTTTGGGGGCTGGTAGTACTCACACCGCCTACAACGTCACCAAGGCCCGCCCCGATTGGCCCATAGGTGGCGCTACAGCGGCCAAAAGTACGAAACGGCTCATAACTCCTCAACCGTTAGGCGTAGGCTCAAGTGTCTTACATCGTTGGAATCCTTGGCTCAAGCCGGACAAGATACCTGCCTCGGATTGGCTCGTCACCCTGGGTACATTTTCGGGTATTTTGGGTTTTTCCAAAAACCTACTTTTGCGAACTAGTCCTAGGTTTTTGGCCCGGCCGGAACCAAACCAGTGCAGCGAGATTCTATGGAGTCTGAATGTCAATAATTATCAAAAAAAAGTGGAAATTTCGGTTCACGGTCCCTAAGGGACGCCAAAACGTTCCGAGTGGGAGGAGCCCCTTTTACTAAATTGGCTATAACTCGTGAACGGAACGAGATATTTTCACCAAACTCAGCGCACCTGTGTAAGAGCTCATTCTGTGGTCGCCTGAAAAAGGACGCGGCGACTGGCCACTTGGTGGCGCTATAACTGTTAAAAAGGTGTCAAAATGATGTTTTTTCAATGGCAAATCCCATGAAATGGCTAAAAGCGGCCCTCTTCCTGCCTGATTTGCATACAACCTGACAAAACCGGGCGTGCGCATGCGTCACCTGATCCTAAAGAGGCTTGGAAACTTTTATGGACGTCGGGCCATCGGTGGCGCTTTAACTGCTATAAAGGTGAAAAAATGCTCCATAATATCCTACGCAAAATGACATTTAAATGACTGAAAAATGGTCTGCTCTGCTCAGAACTTCACCAAATTAGCTGAGCACGTGCGCCATATTATTCTAAAGAAGCGTGCAAACTTTTATGGAGATCGGGCCATCAGTGGAGGTGTCACAGTTTAAAAGGTAAAAAAAAAAATCACCACATTTCCATGATAAACGAGCTAAAAGGGCAGAAAACTTACTTTTTCCTCTCCGAGGCACATGTTAAAAGGCTTGATAAAGTTTTTGGAACGCAGCAGCGCAAGCGGCAAGTGCCTAGACCCTATGGTTTTTTTTTTAGAGGCCTTTTTGTGGCCCTTTTTTAGGCCATTATTAGGGGTTCAAGCACGAAGTGCTGAAACCCTATTGTTATTGTTAATTTTCCCATGATGCAACATTCAGACATAAAACTGATCGGGCAGAACGAACCGTAAGTCGTAGAGCTTTGAAACTTTGGGGGCTGGTAGTACTCACACCGCCTACAACGTCACCAAGGCCCGCCCCGATTGGCCCATAGGTGGCGCTACAGCGGCCAAAAGTACGAAACGGCTCATAACTCCTCAACCGTTAGGCGTAGGCTCAAGTGTCTTACATCGTTGGAATCCTTGGCTCAAGCCGGACAAGATACCTGCCTCGGATTGGCTCGTCACCCTGGGTACATTTTCGGGTATTTTGGGTTTTTCCAAAAACCTACTTTTGCGAACTAGTCCTAGGTTTTTGGCCCGGCCGGAACCAAACCAGTGCAGCGAGATTCTATGGAGTCTGAATGTCAATAATTATCAAAAAAAAGTGGAAATTTCGGTTCACGGTCCCTAAGGGACGCCAAAACGTTCCGAGTGGGAGGAGCCCCTTTTACTAAATTGGCTATAACTCGTGAACGGAACGAGATATTTTCACCAAACTCAGCGCACCTGTGTAAGAGCTCATTCTGTGGTCGCCTGAAAAAGGACGCGGCGACTGGCCACTTGGTGGCGCTATAACTGTTAAAAAGGTGTCAAAATGATGTTTTTTCAATGGCAAATCCCATGAAATGGCTAAAAGCGGCCCTCTTCCTGCCTGATTTGCATACAACCTGACAAAACCGGGCGTGCGCATGCGTCACCTGATCCTAAAGAGGCTTGGAAACTTTTATGGACGTCGGGCCATCGGTGGCGCTTTAACTGCTATAAAGGTGAAAAAATGCTCCATAATATCCTACGCAAAATGACATTTAAATGACTGAAAAATGGTCTGCTCTGCTCAGAACTTCACCAAATTAGCTGAGCACGTGCGCCATATTATTCTAAAGAAGCGTGCAAACTTTTATGGAGATCGGGCCATCAGTGGAGGTGTCACAGTTTAAAAGGTAAAAAAAAAAATCACCACATTTCCATGATAAACGAGCTAAAAGGGCAGAAAACTTACTTTTTCCTCTCCGAGGCACATGTTAAAAGGCTTGATAAAGTTTTTGGAACGCAGCAGCGCAAGCGGCAAGTGCCTAGACCCTATGGTTTTTTTTTTAGAGGCCTTTTTGTGGCCCTTTTTTAGGCCATTATTAGGGGTTCAAGCACGAAGTGCTGAAACCCTATTGTTATTGTTAATTTTCCCATGATGCAACATTCAGACATAAAACTGATCGGGCAGAACGAACCGTAAGTCGTAGAGCTTTGAAACTTTGGGGGCTGGTAGTACTCACACCGCCTACAACGTCACCAAGGCCCGCCCCGATTGGCCCATAGGTGGCGCTACAGCGGCCAAAAGTACGAAACGGCTCATAACTCCTCAACCGTTAGGCGTAGGCTCAAGTGTCTTACATCGTTGGAATCCTTGGCTCAAGCCGGACAAGATACCTGCCTCGGATTGGCTCGTCACCCTGGGTACATTTTCGGGTATTTTGGGTTTTTCCAAAAACCTACTTTTGCGAACTAGTCCTAGGTTTTTGGCCCGGCCGGAACCAAACCAGTGCAGCGAGATTCTATGGAGTCTGAATGTCAATAATTATCAAAAAAAAGTGGAAATTTCGGTTCACGGTCCCTAAGGGACGCCAAAACGTTCCGAGTGGGAGGAGCCCCTTTTACTAAATTGGCTATAACTCGTGAACGGAACGAGATATTTTCACCAAACTCAGCGCACCTGTGTAAGAGCTCATTCTGTGGTCGCCTGAAAAAGGACGCGGCGACTGGCCACTTGGTGGCGCTATAACTGTTAAAAAGGTGTCAAAATGATGTTTTTTCAATGGCAAATCCCATGAAATGGCTAAAAGCGGCCCTCTTCCTGCCTGATTTGCATACAACCTGACAAAACCGGGCGTGCGCATGCGTCACCTGATCCTAAAGAGGCTTGGAAACTTTTATGGACGTCGGGCCATCGGTGGCGCTTTAACTGCTATAAAGGTGAAAAAATGCTCCATAATATCCTACGCAAAATGACAT